AGTTTGAGGAATTTGTGGTTTAATGGGAGTTAGTCATTTACATATATTTTATGTTCTATGTTTAATTTCATGTATGTATTCATTGATTTTTTTGGACATATTTGGTTATCTATAGATATGCGATTTTTGTTCATTCATTACACTTTATACATTAAGGTTATTATATGATCTCAATAAGTTAAAGTTTGGACCAATTGAAAATAGACGTGTACGTATCACCTTCACGTAATTTTTCATGTTACACATTTCATGATGAATCCATGTCATTTGGTTATGTCATGATGAGTAATCATTGTTGGTTTTAGTTACGATGATGCAATGAAAAGCTGATTTGGTTCTATATCCCGATGATTAATGGACAAAACTTTTGGAGTATGCTTGTTAGTAGGAAATCGATAAAGGAATCGAGATAACAAAAGAGAAAAAGAATCGAGGATTATATGATGGGTCAAAAGACCGATAAATCGAAAAGCTAGTTGGAAAAAACATTAAATGACCAGGTAATAATATGATCGAGAATTAGAATCGAAAAATCGAAGGAAGGATGTTCAAGTGTCTCGATGGTGAGGAAAATCGAGAAATTAAAATTTTGTAATGTTAAGGTTAAAGGAAACCAAGAACAATTCAAAATTCTCGAGATCAAGAGATCAAAATCAAGAGGAAGGTTAACCTGCGTGGATATCGAAATCCCGGCCAGGTCATAAAGAAGGGAACAGCTTAAACGCGCACATAGGAAGCAGTTTCTAAACCATGGTAAGGTCGAAGATCATGGGAACGTGGGTGCGCTTGACAACCGAAGAAGAAAGCTGCAACATGCATGTAGACGTTGTGCTAGTTTTCATTAACTCGCTCCTAAGAGGTTACTTACTTAAAAGATGCCCTATAAATAGAATGAAAGGGGAAGGAATAAGGGGGCGTGGAAATTGGCGAGAGAGCAAGAATATTAGTGAGAAGTCTACGGAGAACGACGAACATCATGAAGTTCTTGGCGATCTCGGATTTCCATGTTCATTAATTTCCTTTACCATTTTCTTTATTTTCCCTAGTAATTTACTTTGATGCGGCTTTATGTTTAGCAACTTTAAGCTTCAGTACTTTCGATTCCTTGTCATTTCCCTTTAATGAAAGTTAAGTTTCGCGTTTAGGTTCCTAGTCATTTACATTTACGTAATTTCGATTTCCTGTTATTTACATTTCGTAATTTCGATTTCCTGCTATTTACATTTACGTAATTTCGATTTCATGCTATTTGCATTTTTGTAATTTCGATTTCTTATTATTTATATTTCCGCAATTTCGATGCTTTTACACTTAATGCAAATTTGAGGTTTCCAGCATTTTACATTCCTTCACAGCTTTACTTTCGAGATCGCTTTTCGATTTGTCATTTTACTCGTTTTCCTTACTTCGAGTACTTCAAAAACAAAATACCGAAAATAGTGCTTTCGATTGTCAATCTTAGTATTTTCGATACGGTGATATTTTCGATTCTCATACGCATTTCGATTGAAATTCAGTTGCTAGCCTAAGTATAAAGAATCTACGTGGTTGAGTTTTGATTAGAACCAAAGCCTCTTAATAATCGAAATTAGTCAAAATTCCACCGTGAAACAAATTGGCGCGCCGAGTAGGGGAAAACTTGTGTTGAAAAACACAAAATCGGTTAGTTCGAAAGTGTATGAGATTGAGGAGTGGGCGAGTTATAAGGATGAGTCAAAACCCACCAAATAACCAGGAAGTAACAGTGAGGGTCTAAATGGTTCACATACACCAAACACTCAGGGGCAAGGTCATAATGGAAATATGCTCGTAATATCGACGACCGTGAGTATGTCGATACTCGTGAGTAATGAACAAAGTTCGGGCACATTAGCAAACACTCAAGTAGGATCTAGTACTATGATGGGGAACCCCATAACAACATATGCAGGTACGTATATGAGCATAAGGCCACCCGGGTTTTCACCCAATAATATGAATGGGGTCGGTACCTCCTCGATGCAACGAAACTCGAGATTTAACCTAGGAATGCAACGAGAACTTAGGTATGCCGCAAAATTTTGGAGTCTCTCCAAATTTAGGGGCGTCTCAAAATTTAGTAACCCCTGGAATTCGGGAATGGACAGAATTTAGGTACACAACGGACACCTCCAAATCTAGATCACGAGCAAATTTAGACCATGGAAGAAACGCATTCGATAGAGATTATCATCGATCTAATTTTGAAACTATTGAAAACATTAAGTACTTGGGATCTCCGGTAACTCATTAGGAATACTTAGACAACAAATGGACGAGAGCAATTTCGAGATGGTGAATATGTTATCACAACAGTTGACTACGATCCTAAATCCATTAGTTCAAAACACTACGCTAGTTTTGAGATATTAGCGAGACCAAATGTCACGTATCGGGGATGCATCGGCTATACCTCGACAAACAAGAGTGGAGAATCATGCCGATCGAACATTAACCAAAATGCTAATATCAATCCCCGTATCTACTGAGGAGAAATCGAAACAATGATCAATATCGGCATATGGGGAATGAATATCAACATGTGAGGAATGAGATTTATGGGAATGCGAATGAGGGATTTCAAAATATGTACAATCAAAATATGCACGTAGGACGTGGTAGCGAGTTTCATTAACTCGCTCCTAAGAGGTTACTTACTTAAAGGATGCCCTATAAATAGAATGAAAGGGAAGGAATAAGGGGGCGTGGAAATTAGGCGAGAGAGAGCGAGGAATATTAGTGAGAAGTCTGCGGAGAACGACGAACATCATGAAGTTCTGGCGATCTGGATTTCCATGTTCATTGATTTCCTTTACCATTTTCTTTATTTTCCGGTAATTTACTTTGATCGAGTTTATGTTTACAACTTTAAGCTACGTACTTTCGACATTAAGTTCCTAGTTGTTAAGGAAAGAGTACAAAGTGGACAGATTTCCATAGAACATTTAGGGACAAACTCCATGATAGCAGATCCTCTAACTAAAGGACTTCCGCCCAAGGTCTTTCATGAGCATGTTGCTTACATGAGTGTTTTACAGTTTGAGGAATTTGTGGTTTAATGGGAGTTAGTCATTTACATATATTTTATGTTTTATGTTTAATTTCAAGTATGTATTCATTGATTTTTTTGGACATATTTGGTTATCTATAGATATGCGATTTTTTGTTCATTCATTACACTTTATACATTAAGGTTATTATATGATCTCAATAAGTTAAAGTTTGGACCAATTAAAAATAGACGTGTACAGATCACCTTCACGTAATTTTTCATGTTACACATTTCATGATGAATCCATGTCATTTGGTTATGTCATGATGAGTAATCATTGTTGGTTTTAGTTGCGATGATGCAATGAAAAGCTAATTTGGTTCTATATCCTGATATGATTAATGGACAAGACTTTTGGAGTATGCTAAAGAAATATAATGACAATTTTGAGCTCATAAAGTCTAATCCAATTGTAAGGTTCTAAGGACATATATATTTGTGACCAGTGGGAGATTGTTGACAAATTTTGGGTCATGTATATATATATGATACATGGTTTAACTGTGTTAGGACCATTATTTATTAAGTCAAATAATAAAGTGATATGACTAAATTAAAAAAGTTTGGCTAAAAGCATATGTCATGAAAATAAAACTGTGTAGAAACTATATAACAATTTCTAATATGATGAGGGGCCAAATTAGAAATACTAAAACTTAAGTAATTAACCTAATTCTGGTTATTTTAAGGGCTCATGACCCCCTTCTGAGAGCACATACAGACAAAACGTAAGTTTCACTTCCGTTCCTTTCTTTTTATCCCCATCAAGAGAAAAAATAAAGAGGAAAATATAGGTACTCTTTAGCTGGAAGATCATAAAGATCAACAATACTCTACAATGATATCATCATTATGGCTAATTCAGGTACCCTTTCGCATTTAGTTTACAACATGTTTATGAGTAAGTGATTATATTTATGTTTCATTATTAGAATACAAATGTGGATTATAATTAATTACAGTTTACCTAACCATTTTTAGTATTATCCGATAAAGAATATACCATATATAATATAATATGATTTATAAAATAAGAAAATAATATAAAAATATTATTATAATTTATATATTTAAAAATTAATAAAAAAGGAGAAAAAATATGATATAATATTAAAAATATTTTTTTAAAATATATTTAAAATAAATTAATAAATACAAAAAATTGTTATAATCCAAGTAGAACAAAGGTATCTACTAGACATGAGAGAGTATGTACCTGATTCATACATAAACATTTTCCTTTCCATGTCCTTATTCGGAAGGAAGATCGAAACATCTCGATCGTCCAAGGAAGTTCTTACCCTAATTCATCCTCTTGACCACATCCCTGCTTTCCTTTGTTTCCGCAATTAAGGTACAGTGCTTAGTTTTGAGTGTGATCCAAATTATTTTAATCAATAAATAAATTGCAGTGCACAAATGCCGTTACTTAATTAGGTTTATGAAAGATTGAACAGAAATGAATGAAATTTAGAATTATGCTTGAATAGAAATAAATACCCATCATTATGGTGTAAGAAATAGCATATTTTCTTAACTTTTCTTTTTAAATTTAATGACAACTTGTATGTTTATTTATTATTTATTTTTTCCAGTAGGTCTCTCTAATTAAGGCCGTCGGAAACGCTTTTTATGTCTTCGCATTGCGCCCCTTCCATTCTACAATTTCCCGCATCAGCGCCACACTGCAAGCAGTTTGCTTGATGCGAATGTTGATTCAAGAATCCAAGGTTTGGATTTACTGCACTTTTTCTTTACCCAAACGCCGTTTCACAGTTGTTAAACTTCACTAATTATTTTACGACGTTTACTTTTCTTCTGCTTGCAGATTCTGATCACAACCCAGTGAAGACGTATGCGTTATATTTCAATCTAGTCGAACATTTTCTGAACATTCGGAAATATTAAAATCCTCATCATACTTTGGAACATGGCGGATACTATAGTTACCTCCGTCAAATCTTCTACGCCCTCGTCGAACCCTATTCGGATAATCTGCCACGTGTATGTGTATATCCAACTTATTTTAGGTTTTTTTCTACATGGATTTTTGTTTTTATTATTATTATTTTGCTAAGTGGAAGTTTAAGAAGTGTTTTTCGGGTTTTTTGTTTTTTAATTTTCCCATTCTTGTCTTTGGAATATACAAGCCCGCAGAAAAATTATAATTTTCAATTTAGTTTATTATGCGTGTTAATTATGACTAGAGATTTTTCAAGTTTTGGATCCTTGTTCTGCTTTTAGTTCTATGTCATTTTATACTATTATTTTATTTCTTATGTTTCTCTTAGATCAAACCGCCCTCGTTTATTCCCTTTTCATACTATGACAGATGCCAGAAGCAGTTTTCTCAATACACGTGTCCACGATGCAATTCGCGATATTGCTCCCTCCAATGTTACAAAGTAAAGTTTTTTTTTGAGCTGGTTACGAAAGATTTTGATTCATTCTTTTGCATATAAGCTGTATATGTGCAAACAACCTTAACATTATTGATTTAGTTTTGGATTTCCCATCATGTTATGTGGCAATAGCATTCCAAGACTCTAGCCGAACAATTTCTGAAGGATAGCAGTATGCTTATTCTAGTTTAAGTATAACTTGTCTTAATGATTTTTTGAGATTTACAACTATTACAGACATTCAGAGGAATGTTACTTCTGTTTACCATTTTGATTCCTCCCATGTTTTTGTATCTATGTATCTCCATTTGCATTTACTGTTCCTACTTTACTATGTGAGTGTTCTGACAAGGCTTTTGTTTTAGACATTTGTTATGCTTTTATATGGTTTGAATGACTTTGCAAATTGGATGTTACTGACATGCATTTTCTATAGATACGTTAAATCTTGATCATTGTTTGTTACAAACTGCTGGGAATTTTGATCTTTTGTTTTGTAATTTTGACAGTCTCACAGTCTCCGTTGCACGGAATCCTTTATGAAAGAAAATGTAGTTCAAGAGCTTCAGCAAATGCAGCCTGATGAACAAACCAAAAATAAGATGTTGGACATACTGAAAAGATTTAATGCAGAAGAGGAAATGGATGAGGATTGTGAGTCATCCATTTTTTTTTTTTTGTTTTTAGATGTTCCAGAGTTGATTTGGTGCAGTTTTTCTTGTTTGATATCTCTCTTTCCATGAAAGCTTACTCTTTTATTCGTATTTTTTCTGAATATATATAATGTAGTCATGACATATAAACAGAAAACTAGATTTATCCTATGGTTGGCCACTTTTGAAAAATTAATTTTCAGTGGAACATGTGACTAAGCTAATTTTTCCCTGAAAGATTAAGCACCTACCATGTTTGTTCCAAAGGCTCAGCTCAGAGAGGAAATCCCTCTTGAGGTGCTTAAGAGATGTTAATGCAATGAAGTTAGTCCAGGCAGTAAGAATACTTTATCTGACTAAATGGACAAGGATGATTTTGTCTTAGATGGATGGCTATTGGAAAGCTCGGCTGATAGTTCTAATTTCTTGCTAGATAGTCCTTCATTGTTCAATTCTCTCTTTGAACCTTATTTCTCGTGGCCTTCCTTGAAGACTAACATGAATTCTGGGAAGCTCTTTGGCACCCAACCAGTTAACCAGTATATATTTGATGTTGCTGGTTGTTGTAATCACTGTATTAGTCTGACATAAACTCAGTTGAAGATTCTTCTGAAGTGGTTGGGAGGTGGATCTTCTGCAATGGATACATTTATTCCTGATCTTATGTTTTTTAATGGTTTCACCTGATGTTTTCTTTGGTGATGATTATCCAACTTTCTCCTGGATATATTTCTTTCTGATCTTACGTTTTTCTACTCTCTTTTTTTAATAGTCAAATGTATCGCTGGAAAAGAAGGTTTAGATAGTATGTATGTGAACAATACTATGATATACTCTATAAGTTCATATAAATACTAAAGTAGATGAATAATATTTTGATTCTTACAAGTGACTTATTGCCAAAATTCATGAATATAGAGAGATCAGAAAATATGAAAATGTTGACTTTTGTTTGCTTGTTAAAGAAGAGTGATTATTGTCATGAATTATTGTAATTTTCATCGTCATGTTGGGATATCCTTTTTTTTGTAAAATACAATAAGTAGTTTTTTGAGGAAAAGAATGCCCAATAGTTGGGGATGAAAAGATTCTTCAATAATGGAGTTTGGCTGCCTCTTTTCATGGAAGATAGATTGAGAAAATTGACTAGGAAAAGAAGAAATAACAGTAGAGGGTTAGAATTCTTGCAAGTTGCAATGTAAACATGAAGATGCCAATCTATTTTCCCTTCCCTACCAAGGTCCCGTGCTGTGTAACCTAAACACCCAAAAAGGAAAGAACCAAGAACTTGCAAAATTGATAGACAGACTATGGAGCATTCAGTTAGTAGGATTCTAAAATTAATGAAGCTCAAATTAGTCAATTAACGAACGTTAATAAATTATCACATCAGAAGTGCACTCGTATTATTTCGTGTTGATCGCTGTAGAAGATTTGTTGATAAAATTATTAATTCATGAGTTATCTTATGTACCACTGGAGAAGGGAGCTAAGTTTCTACCCTTGTTTCCTTAGCTTTTGCAGATTCAACTTTGTCCGAGGAGACAATGGAAAAACTTTTGTCTGGTATGTTCCTATTGAATGCATCTTTAGTATTATTTGTTACAACTTGAACGTGTCGTCTGATTGCTCTGCCAGTACCAGTAAAACTGGTTTATATCCATCTCACCATTGGGTAAGGCTGATTTATTTTATTAATCTTACAGGACAAGAAATCAGCTTTGATGATTTATCTCTTGAAGAAAAAAAACAGTTTCATAGAGCCATTGCTTATGGGGAATTGACCAAGATGATCAAACCATGGGATCCATGGTGGTCAAAGCCTTCTGCAAGAAAAATCCGTCTCAGTAAGGAAGGAACTCAGCTTGTACAACCTCTTCCAAAGCAGGAATTGCTAGATGAAATTGGAAGTGAAGAATTCAGTGAAGTTCCTCTGGGACCTGAAACTCCGCTTCCTCCTCTAAGCAGGCTTAGTTCCAGGGAGCCATCACCCCTTTTAACAGTTCATGTAGTTGATGTTCTATATAGCTACTGTTTCACCCTTCGTCTATACAATGGAGATTGGAGGTCGGATGCCCTAGGGTCAGTCACAGTTGTATTAAGTGTGTCCTCGGTGTTGGGTCAAGGTGCACAGCCAGAGACGGTACTAGAAGCCCTTTCTCATTGCTTGGAGCAGGTATGCTGTCCAGCTTACAGACACATGGGAGGATTGCAATTTGGTTTGGGTGTCATAGAGGATGTGATCAGTCTGCTTAATTTGGGAACTCCTGCTCTGGTGTGTGCCCTTTGTGATATGCATCGGTTGATGCAAGAAGGGGAAAAAGAGGCTAAATCAGAAAGGCCAAGAAAGTCACGTAGGGATGGGATTAGAAGTGCTATCAAGCTAGCAGAAAGGAAGATATATTTCATCATGTGTTGGGTTCATGAGCAGCCAGAGGAAGCCTGGTCTTCCATAGCAGCCATTGTAAGAGCAGAAAAGCCTTCAGCCATGGAATTTCAATGGAGCAATAAAACTGAAAAATTGAACAATAAGGCAGAGGCCAAAAGCAAAAGTTTAATCCAGGAGATTTAATGATTTACGCTCACTAATGCCCTTTGCTGTTTACCATATTATTTATCTTAGAATATGTGTAGACGAAAATGGTAGTTCCCAAGGCAGTTGTAAATATACATTTACATGTAGAAATCCCTTTTAAGGGGATATTCAATCTGGTACTAACACTGGTCCTGGAGTTCTTCAGTTGCAAGAAAGTTCAGAAAGTTGAATCTATCATCTATTTATATTTAACGAAATATCAGAACGTAATTAGTCGTCAACTGTTGATATATCATTGATTAAATTGGTTTGATAGCTAATAAATAAATGGTTTAATATGTTATGATGTATTATATGTTACATTGGTCATGGTGAATGAACAATGTTAGATATGAATATGTTTTTAGTGAATATAATAAGTGAAGCTGTAATCCAAAATTCTCATTCCAATCATCTTCAACGTCAGACTCAGTGTGGGGTACTGTTAATCAGTAATGATCCTGTATTCGTTAAACAACTCGTCACTACTTTCCGAATCACTCTACATGTTAAACACTAGCCAGAGGATGAATCAGCAAGGGCTGTTCAAGCACATGCGACAATCTCTCTTAAGCACGAGAAGTCGTTGCCCCTTAATGTATCCTCTAAGTCACTTTTTAACAATATAAAACAAAAGTTTACATGTACTTTTAGTGTATCTAATTTGGTTTAACTTACTAAAAGATTATCAAACCCTGTTTAACAATTTAATTCATCACATCACAAAAATTATAAATATATATATATTCTCTTCCTTCCAATCCTCTCATTTTATTTGACCCATACTGCAGCATCTAAAGTCTAACACACAACAAAGTCCAGCATCTACCTAAGCTATGAATGATTGTGATGATAACTATAACATTTGAATATATGCTATCATCACATCTATTACCCTAAAATTTAAGTAACGAATAAAATAGGGTTATCAAGGATTCCATTACTGAAGAAGTGGTCCTAGAGCTATCATTCACTTTGTTCCACTGCCATTCATTTTTTTTTTTTTAATGTTTATTCAACAATGAAGATTCGAAAATCAAAGTTACCATTACACTCTGCAAAAATGGTTCCACTGTTAAAGTTACAGGAAATAGTAGAGAAATATCCATATATATATATGATTATGTATGTGCTCTTACATGGTTTTGTTCTACTTTTAGTGATATTTTTTTTATTTATTCAATAATGAGATTGCACGCTATTAAAATTATTCTACTTCTGAAGATGTACCTTTGAACTTTTAAAAAACTTTTTCGTTTACTAAAATTTTACATATTTTATGATTTTTTTCAATTTATTTTATAAATTTTATAAAACTCACAAAATATATACAAGAAATTCATTTTTTTTGAATTTTTATAAAAAAAATTGTCAGAAAATTTGTTCAAGTTTTGATAATAGTTGATTCACGTAATTTATTCTATTATCAAATTTTCAATTTAGAACTTCTTATATATTTATTAACTTAATTTATACAATAAATAATTTTTTTCTTAACCATACACATCTAGAATACATAGAAATCTTATGTCCGAGTTAAAAAAATCATTTTCATCCTTTATTTTGTTTAAATTTATTTTTTAAACTAAAAATCAAAACATAATTCATATTTCTCTTTGGTTTAGTCCGGTACGCTTTGCACCAAACATTTTTCAACTGTTAAAATCGCACCAAAGCGTAGTAAAATGTTGAAAATTACAACTTCTTTGACTAAAATATTTATGGATTTGGATTCATGTAATTTAATATTAAAAAAAAACTTGGTGAGATACATCTAGAAAAACATATTTTATCTGATAACTTTTTAAGAATGCATGGCTTTAGAGTTTTCATACAAATCAAATTAGTATTTACATTAATAAAAAATATATTTAAAGAACATATTAACTCTAATTAACTTCTCTTTATCTATTCTCAAACATGTTTAATTAGTAATTTACATAATTAAATATTTACATAACATACAAAAAGATTTCTAATCATGTAAATGCTTATATATAAAATATATTAAAAATATGAAATATTTAACTTAAATCTATAAAATTAATTCACTAAGTGAAAAATGTACCATTATAAGATTTCATTTTAATAAAGATTTTTCATCACACCATTTCATGTTATAAATAATCTTTTCATTATTTTTCTAATATAATAATTAGTTTCATTACAAAGGTTACAAAATTTATTCAATATAAAAATCGTATCTGAATATTTTTTTTCATATAACTATAAATTAAGAAAAAAAAAATCAAATAGTTAGTTTGTGTAAGTCATTGAAACTCTTGTTCATCCAATTTTTTTTTTAGGGTCAACTTGAATTGAAATCCTATTTAACATCCGTCTCAAACATCAATAAATTGTAAAGTGTTGATGGTAACCACATACATATGTTTTTCATAGTCATGCAATTAAAGTCAAATCCTTGACTTAAGAAATAAAGTGGTCTATTAATTAATTTTGTCACATCGTGTTAATTAATGATTAGTATAATTAATCTTAAGAGAAGAGAATTTAAACAAAATTGAATGTCAGAGAATGAAAAGACAGTATTTCATTGAATTGAACATACTTTAGGATGTGATATTTTTTTTCAAGAGAAATGATATCAACCAAAAAAACAATTTAAAAAAAGACCGACATTAATAAAATAAAGCGAGCCCAACAAAAGATTGGGCCGAGCCCAACAAGTGAGCCTTTCTCTTTGTCTAGTCATCCTTAACATAAACCCCCAAGCTTTGGGATTCTTAACCTTTCTTTTTTTCTTTCTTTCTTACTTCGTTTCAGTTTGAGAACCCTTGTTCGTTGTTCATCGCCATAATTACACACAGAGGATAGAGGGAAGAAGGAATTTTGATGGTAAGTTAATAATATTATATCATATATTGGAATTTCGATTTTGATTGTTGAAAGAAGAATGGGAGGTTCATCGGAGACGAAGTTCCTGCAAGACCTGTTGTTGTATGCGGCGAGCGCGGCGCTTAGTTGCTTGGTGTTGTTTGTGGGGCTCAGGCACCTCGATCCTAATCGCGATGAAGCTTCCAAAAAGCTTCTTGAGCACAAGAAAGAGATTGCAAAGCGTCTCGGCCGCCCCCTCATTCAAACTAACTCTTATGAGGTTTATTCATTGTTCTATTCTTTGCTTTGCAGTTTTTCATATATCAAAATTTTCACTTCATACATCTTAGTTTTTTTTTTGGGGGGGGTTGTAGGATCTGGTAATGTGAAATTATATGGCTTGGAAGATGTTTAACTTGACAATATAGTATCACAACGTTAATGATAGAAATGGTTCATGAGATGTCCAAGGATTCTAACGCCGGAGTTGGGAATATATGTTTTTAATGTTGGATGAGTGTATACTTGTTCGCATCCTGAAAGTAAGTTTGTATTTTGTCAAACGGATGTGCTGAATGTCACGGTATGCATCAGTTATGTTCACTGTTGGAGGGTAGCTTTTTTTTGCCTTTGCCCCAGTTTGAATATAGATTATCGGATCAGTATTTTTATCTTGTCCTTCTCATTTTTTAACTGTCTCTTTGTTGTGATTGGTTCCTGCAAAATAATTTCTAACTATATTTGCCGTTTCTTAGTGAATGACTAGTGTACGATTGAGGAAGAGGATTATGGATGATGATTTTTGCATTGGAGCATATTACCTAGGTGGTTGTATGCATAATTGTGAGTGTTTCTGCATTTGTATGCATGTTATTCTTCAGCCTTCACGTTACTTAAGTTTTTTAAGTTATACCTCAAACGATATTTGATAATATTACTTCTGCTACTGTCATTGTGTTTGTAGAGGGATGAAGCTTGGTTGTTGATGATGTACATCATGTACTAATACCCTGATATTATCACGTTACTTCTACATTCTGTAATCAACAGAAAGATGGATATCTAGCGCCTGGAAATTGTATTCTTGAAAGAGATTTTTCAATTACTTATGGATTAACCTATTATGATTTTCTAATTTTGACCAATTTATTTGTCAAATTAATAAATTAGTTTAAACACAGAATTCTATCCAAATAATCGTAGGAAAGAATGAGTAGATCCATTACTTATCCTCTGTGGATATATGGTCTTACGTTTTGTTGAGAGTTAAAAGTTATTGACCGCAGTTAAGTATTATCTTTTATTTCAATTTTTAATTTCTGCCCTTTATTGTATACAGGATGTTGTAGCCTGTGATGTTATAAATCCTGACCACATTGATGTGGAGTTCAACTCTATTGGGGGACTGGAAACAATCAAGCAAGCTTTGTTTGAGCTTGTTATTCTGCCTCTAAAAAGACCGGATTTGTTTTTACATGGTAAGCTTCTTGGACCACAAAAGGGGGTCCTGTTGTATGGACCACCTGGCACTGGAAAAACCATGCTTGCCAAAGCTATTGCTAAGGAGTCGGGAGCAGTTTTTATTAATGTGAGGATATCAAACCTTATGAGCAAGTGGTTTGGGGATGCCCAAAAGCTTGGTAAGTACACAATATCTCTATGGTTAATTTTTCAATATAATGTAAAGCTTTTCACTTCTCCTTACATTAGACTGTAGTGTCTTCAGCGTTGATTTTGTGTGTACATATATGGATTATATAATTAATTATCTTGGCTCAATAGATTAAACTAATAAGTTATACTCTTGTGTTCTGATCGTTAGTTATTCATAAGGTCCATATGTATGCACAAAGATCCAATAAGTTGTATTACTCAGTATCTAAAACTTTGACTACTGACTATTTAAATCATTATATATAATTTCCTTGGTACTTTGTCTATTTGAGTTACATTCTTGTTTCACGCAATAGAAGTGGTATTACGAGCAGTTGCAAGGTTAATTGTGCCTACCATAATAAGATATGATTAGAGCAATTGTTTCTTTGGCTCAAAAACAATATATGATAGGCAATAGGACAATTATCCTTTGATGAAAAGTAATAGCTTAGAAGATGAACTACAAGAAGCCTAGACATGTTTTGGAATACCAATCTTTGATGATAATGAAGAGCTTAGAAGACTTGAAGTTTAAGCATATTGTATTTAGTATGCAGTTCCTTGATGATAATGTAGATCTTAGGAGAAGAAATATTCTGAACATATTTAACCAGTAAAAAGTAGTTACAAATCAGGAATATAGAAATAATACAAAAGTCCAAGGAACCTCCTCTTTTCCCAGTTTTATATTTTTATTTTGGTGGAAAAGTCAATCTATTCACCTGTGGTTTTTACCACTTCTGTCATCATATTTGTGATGTACTCAATCTGTTGTTTTGGTGTAAAAGGATCTAGAAATTACTCACTTAGAGGCATCAAAGCTTATATTGAATGATGTTATTTAGCAATCGTCATAAATTAAGTTTGATTACTTGTCCTTTCTCTCATTAAGCTGAACATGGTTTATCCCGTCTCATGTATCTCAATTTTTAGGCTTGTTCGTGTTGAGGAATTGTTTTTGTTCTCATTTCATTTTTCACTCTGAATTAGCAAAATATTCCTTTCTTGTGTGGCTAAAATAATTCACTTAACAATAAGTACGACTATAGCTTTAGGTAAAATTTTATAACAGTTTAAGACTCGTGATGGTGTATGAGAATAAATGTTGAGATCTACTGAGCGAACAAAAAACTTCAGATTATAGTTAGAGCTAGAAGAAAGCATATAAAATCTACAGGCTAATTGGACAACCTGTTAAGAAGGATTTACATCTTACTGATATTTAAATAGAAATGATTTAAAATAGGACCCTATGGTATCATTTGATTTTCATGTAGCCAACCTTGCGAGTAAAAGGCAGCTGTTGTCATGTTTTGTATGTAGGTGAAATGTGACTGGTCAGGAATGTAACTTTCTTCTGAAATAACTGATTTTTTTAATAAAAAGGTTAAATCTTTCATTCACTTCAAGTTTTGGAATGAGTGATATGATTACTCTATATGTTGTTGGTGGTTGAGTTTCACTATCCGCCCATATCTGTGCCCGTTAAGGAATGAATAGTGACAGACCACCCTGTATATGTTCTCTAACTACTGTGGATTATCTGTTCAGCATAGAGGTGTATTGGTTAAATTCTATATCAGAAAAGTTAACAGGGGCATATTGGTTATGTAACTATGCTTTCATTTTCCAAATCCTGCCTATGTGATTATATGATATAAATCTTTATCTGATTTTGAATATGCTTAATTATAATTTATGTCTTTTTTTTTCTTTACTCAAAGCGTGATTTTCTTTTTCTCTGCTATTATGCGGTTCTGCAGTGGCTGCGGTATTTAGCTTGGCTTATAAGCTTCAGCCTGCAATCATTTTCATTGATGAAGTAGACAGTTTTTTGGGTCAGCGTCGTACAACAGATCACGAGGCTTTGTTAAACATGAAAACTGAGTTCATGGCTCTGTGGGATGGATTTACTACAGATAGTAAGTTTAAAGCAGTTATCACGTAATTTAATTTGTTGCGTAAATATTCAAAGTTGCAAATAACATGATGACAATTTTGATAGATTTAGTTGGTAAAATAATGTTCTTAATTTATCTTTATTTGAGTAGATTTGTTGATCCACGTGATGTTTTGTGTGTGTAGAGAATGCTCGAGTTATGGTTCTTGCAGCAACAAATCGTCCTTCAGAACTTGATGAAGCAATACTTCGGCGTCTTCCTCAAGCCTTTGAAATTGGAATTCCAGACCAGAGAGAAAGGACAGAAATATTGAAGGTTATCTTAAAGGGTGAGAGGGTTGAAGACAACATAGACTTTGGTCATATAGCTGGCTTGTGTGAGGGTTACACTGGCTCAGATCTATTTGATCTTTGCAAGAAAGCTGCCTATTTTCCTATTAGAGAACTACTGGATGAAGAGAAGAAAGGAAAACGATCTCCTGTTAGTATATTTAAGTCATTCTCTTTCACTTTCTTCCCTGCCTCAGTTTTTTATTTCCTAACCAATCAATCTTGAGAATGTCGATTTATTTAAAACTATTGTACGCACCCAAGGTTATATTTGCGTGCTGTCCTGTAACAAATTCAGTTTGTTGCTGAAATTCTCTTCTCAGTTCCTTCTTCCACAAGCCTAGCTTGAAGAAGGAACAGATATGAGGGCCTATGGAAAATGTGGTCTGAAAGTCTCAAAGTGACATCTCTGTTCTATGAAAGCAATTACTTAATGTGCAAGAAAAATTTGTGGCTTTGTTAGATGTGATTTCATATATTCTCTAAAGAAACTGATTAGTTTTCTTGGTGGCTTTCTCATATAGAAAGTTCTGCTTGACTGTATTGTTTATCTTTCTCATTTCAGGCACCTGCACCTTTGTCCCAGTTAGATTTGGAGAAGGCCCTTGCCACTTCACAGAAGACAAAGATTGCTGCAAGTGAATACGGTGGATTCAGCCTTCAGACACCTTCAAGATGGTCGGTACCTGGTGATTCAGGTGATTCTCAGATTCAAGCTGCAATCAATGAATTCTCTAAGCTTGTGGTTTCTCACATGATTAACCTCCAACCAGAATCCCAGGATCCTTAAAATGTTCACATTCTTTAGAGTATTCTTCTCCCGTCCTTTAGCCTAGCTCTGATTGTACCTGTAATTACTTCCATTAGCCTAGATATACTAATTATTGGAGCATATATTTATTATACATTGATTATAAAAGTGCTATGGTTGGCTATTGCATTATGTGCAGTATTTGATGCATCAATCCTTCTTGTAGCACTTTCTGATATTCCATTTATGTCAAATCTGATCTCTGATTACTATTCTGGTAAATGCAGAGATAATTTTGTAATATTGTTATTCCATCCTCTTTTGTGTATTGTATACTGCATGATGCAGTAAAACGACATAAAACGGTAGCTAATGTCTATTTCAGGTGTCAGATCTGTCCACATTCTATGACATTGTATAATAAGCCAAACATACAATAGAAGGGATTAAAAAATTCCCTTCTGGCCCGAGCAGTTAGGTGGACTCAAGGTTGAGTTTTACGCTTGCTATTTTGTTTAGCATGTGGAAAGGGGAAACTATGTCATTATTTAAGTCACCTCTAAATCTTGCTTCCAGTCCTATTGACACTGCTAGCTCAAGCAAAAATTCATATCTACTGTTCTATTATGTGATAATCTATGATTGGTACTATTGGATCTAACACTGACATGCCCAACAACTTGAACAGACTAAGCTTAAGACTGATCAAGACGGTGCAGTGTGTATCAAGTTGCCAACAGCCATCAATTATTGAGACCTCGGAGAAATAACTGGCATGAAGTGGGTTCGGCAGGGTTATAATTTTAAGCAGTGGGTCAGTTATCATCCTTGTGTTTTTGTTGTCTTTCTGGTCCACCAGCATATGCTGATGATTAATTCGAACCCTTGAAAGTTGCGAGTTCTTCCCATCACATTCATTCATTGTGTAGTTAGGACCACAAATTTGTAATTTTTCCCCTCTCAAACATAATTTCTACAGTGTAGACAGGACCACTACGTGAGGGACGTATCTTCCTCACTTTGTTCCGGCTGATGCCTGCCTCGTGCTTCCATCATTACTCAACCACTTTTCAAGTAGGGGAAACCAAAGTTAAATAGCCAATAAATTTAACGTAACAGTAATAAAATATACATGATTGATCACAATCCGAGAAGGAACATCTCTTTCTTTTCGCACATAGGGTTTTGGAATTGGAAGTGGCTATTCTGTTTGAATATTCCCGTCCTTGTCAAAGACCTGGGAGTCTTGTGGAGAAAAACACCCTTGCAGATTATTGGACACAGATTGAAAGTGGCATGACAACTCTGTATTTCTTCACAGTCGAGACAGTTTAGTTTATGGGGATTTTCAATCTTTTAATGGCTACAATCATTTTATTGGTTTTAATTTTTCAGTTTATAAAGCTTGTGACGCAGATCCATTATATATTGACTCGTTACTGGTCTAAACAAGGAACTGTCCCTATTATTAACCCATATCCTCGTCTTACAATATAACAATAATAAGTCTCTACCACAAAAATGAAGTAAATGGTTTTCAAGGGTTCATATCGTTACAGCGATAGTCATTTATCAAAACTTTTGGCCTATTCATCCAGGTTGCGTCGAACTTATTTATTAACTAATATTTTATATTGATTTTGGTTTTAAAATATGTGGAATCATGACAACCACAGCGTAATTTAAACATTTTTGCATTTTTTATTGCAAATTTTGAGGATTTTTATATTTATTCAAGCAGAACCGAGCTCATCGGTATTGCCACATAATAGGAGTGAACGTGAGACTTCAGTTGGCTGTGAGGACGGTAGTTGGAGGATTATGAAGGGTGATGGTTAACTGTTAAGTTGTTTAACCCACAGCAGTTTCAGTAGGCAATCTAATGATGCAAAAGGTTATTTATTTATCATAAATTCGTAATAATTAAATAAATATATGTTGCTTGAATTATGTCGGTTAATATGATAAGAAAGTGGGGTATCAATAAGTTAACCACAAATAAGTGATATGCCAAATATAGAATCAAAGACAATGTGAGCAGAATAGTTGAAGTATAAAATTGCATTCAAAGTTACGTTTAATCGTCTCCTTTGATTTTGAAGGCTGGCTAGTAAGGAAAAAATAGTTTCAACGTTCAACTGCCAACAACTGTAATTGATTATTATCGTTCCAGTCGACACCTTGAACATTATTACTAAATCAAAACGAAACAATTATATTTTTTTGGTCATAGTTGTAATATAAATATACGTTATAATGTGAATTTTTCATACCATAAAGTTCCGTAAAATCTTGTTTCTATTTCATTTAAAATACTAGATTAGTTATTCGTGTACGCAAATCATGATTCGCGAACATAAAACATTACCGTGAATGCGATTTTTGTTTTTTTTACGTTAATTTTAGCTTCCAATAATATGGATGATTAATCAATGTCATCGTATAACACAAATATTACCCGAACTGTACATATTTATGAAAATATCAACAAACTTTTAATGAGTTTACTTAGCATATTGTTAGTATACAAAATTTTATACTATCAAATAGTCAAAAATGTTATTCATATAACTTTTAAAATTATTTTGTGAAAATTATTACTTATCGTACATGTTGGTTTCTTATTCAACGATAGTAAAAAACAAGAAAAGAGAGTTGAAGTTGTCAATACACAAAATATTGTGTGATAATTTTATCGCAAGAATATAATTGGATCTAAGTATAAAAATAATTTACCCAGTTCATAGTTAGTTCTATAATTACTAAGTGTTAAATTTGTGGAAGGGATTAATATTTTATAATGTAATTAACTGAAAAATGTTTATATTAGTGTTAAATCGTGTTTAACAGAGCTATACGTTGAAAAAAAAAAAAAGAGCTAGATCTGTAATTAGTAGTCATTTGTAAATTGTGCTGAAATATGCACTGGTGACTAACATCTTGAAATGATTATATACTAACGAGAATATATGGCTATATATAATTAGTTCATATAAATGAGTTTACATTATTTAATGACAAGTTGGTTGACTTTGATGAAAAAAATTCCTGACATTTATAAACTTTCAACTGATAATATATACAAATAAATTCCAAAATTACTGATTTTTGCAATAATTAATTTAAAATCATATATAATCACATCCACAATATATCAAAATTGAACGTTAAGATATATTCATGTGGTAAAATAGAAACCTGTGAATAATAAGTTTGAAGTCCAAATTAAACTCTTAAAAATTTAAAAACACTTTATTTCAAACCAAAAATTTAAATGACTTTTGCGTTAAGTAACACACAGGTTAAGATTCACTTGGAAACTATTTTGTCTTCTTCCAAACAAATAGTTGGCATAATTCACCAAAAAAAAATAGTTGACACAGAACATTTATTACATAAATACACACCCAAGGGTGATTTAAGACAACTTAGCTGCAAGCGTGTCATTTTCTGTAAAGTGCCACTTTATGAATCATGTGAGCAACCTATCATTAGAAGAAATCCTCATCATTCGCCAATATGCATTAACATAAGGCATGAAATTTTTTAAAGAATATGTTAGTTTTTATAGAAAAGGAAAAAAAAAAAAAGGAACTTTTGAAAATCCATAAGAGGATAATTGACAAATGCGTGCGCAGTGTTTGGCAGCAAGAGTCAAAAACCTTGAAAATCAAACACACCAAAGAAGAACACATGCTCTTACTTGTATCACTTGAAAATAATAAAATTGCCGGCACCTGACCCTTTCAAAGCTCCTTCTCATACAAAGTTCCTTCGCTGTAGCCTTCACCAGATTCCCATAACCTCCATTCCTTCATTCTTTCCTTTTTCTCCATCCAAAGTCAGAACCCCGCATGCATGATTTCCCAAATTAACATGCTTTCCCTTTTCTTCCTTCTCTTTTCCTTTTCTCTAATCGTTTTCTTCTTCCGCAAAACCTCTGCACTTCACATCCTCACCCAATGGTTCCTCTCCTTCGAAAATCGCCTTCACATTCACCAATCCTTCAAAATTCCTCGCTACAACCTTCATGCTCAGGACAATCAACTCCACCGGAAAATTCTCGCCTACCTCGATTCTCTCCCATCCGTTCAAGATTCCGATTACACCAACCTCTTCTCCGGCCCCAATCCCTCCGACATCTTCCTCCACCTTGACCCTAACCACACTGTCCATGATACCTTCCTTGGCGCCAAGCTCTCTTGGACCAACGAAGCAGCCGCCTCCGGCGGCGGCGCGCTCGTCCTCCGAATTAAGAAGAAAGACAAACGCAGAGTCTTCCAGCAGTACTTCCAGCACATTCTCTCCGTGGCGGACGAGATCGAGCAGCGCCGGAAAAAGGACATAAAGCTGTACGTGAACTCCGGCGCCGTTGAGTGGCGCTCGGCGCCGTTCACACATCCGGCGAACTTCGACACGGTGGCGATGGACGCGGAGCTGAAGAACAAGGTGAAATCCGATCTGGATCAGTTCCTGAAGTCGAAGCAGTACTACCACCGGCTAGGCCGCGTTTGGAAGCGGAGCTACCTCCTCTACGGAGCGCCTGGCACCGGAAAATCTAGCTTCGTCGGCGCCATGGCGAAGTTCCTCTGCTACGACGTCTACGACGTCGACGTGTCGAAGTTCACCGACGGCGGCGATTGGAAGTTGATGCTGATGCAAACGACGGCGAAGTCTCTGATCGTGATCGAGGACCTCGATCGCTTGCTCGCGCAAAAGTCAAACACTAACACAAACGCAGCGAGCTTATCGAGCGTGTTGAACTTCATGGACGGAATCGTATCGTGCTGCGGAGAAGAGCGCGTGATGGTGTTCACGATGAACGAAACTAAAGAGGATCTTGATCAAGCGGTTCTGAGGCCTGGGAGGGTTGACGTTCACATACACTTCCCCTTATGTGATTTCTCCACCTTTAAGATTCTCGCCAGTAGCTACTTAGGGTTGAAGGAGCACAAGCTTTTCCCTCAGGTCGAAGAGGTTTTCCAGACCGGGGCCCGGCTCAGCCCGGCCGAGGTTGGCGAGATTATGATATCGAACCGGAATTCCCCCACCCGGGCCTTGAAAACCGTTATTTCCGCCCTGCAGGTGCAATCCAACGCCCCGAGAGAGGGACAGAGGTTGAGTCACAGCGGGTCGGGTCGGAACAGCGATGATAACGAACCGGGTGCGGTTATATGTAGGGAGAGCGTTCACACGGTGAGGGAGTTCCGGAAACTGTATGGGCTTTTCCGCTTGGGAAGTAGGAGGAAGGAGGAGTCCTATTCCGGGCCCATGGAGAAAGACCCTCCACGTATCGAGGGTCGGGTCGGATAAAATGGATCCTTTTCTTCTTTTCTTTTGAAGTGTAAAGTTGTTTCCCATTTTGCCTCTGAATTTTTTTATTATAATTTTTTTTTTCCTGTTAGCAATTATATTGTATCTACACAGAAAAATAATGGTAGGACGGTAAGGCCGAAGAAACTGCAATTCGCATTCTTGTTTAGGCCGTTCATAATAATACAGATACATCCTTCACTTATTCTTTAAATTCCTTTCTACGGTCAACTTTTTTTTTCTACTTTAATGCTGTAGGTCAACGTTCTTTATATGTGGTGTGGTTTGATTTTTCTACCCTTCAATTTTCCTTTTTTTTAAATTAGGAATTAGGAGTAATATCAGGGACTGTTCCATTGGAGACCATTGAATTTGAACTATGCGCGTCCGACTTTCTTTATTTTGTGTGACCTATGGCCATGAAAAATAAACATGATTTCCTTTTACCAAAAGTATAGAGAATGGCCTACTCAGTTCAAGCACCAGTTTGTCTTTGGCTGTGTTATGTGTTTGGGTACGATTCATAATTCAAATTATGAATTTAATTTCACATTATAAAAATTAAAAAATTAAACAATATATAAAAAAAGAAAATATATAATCTCTTTTACTTAAATTAATTCATATTTCATTAATATTGTTTCTGTACAGTAAATCTCCTTTAAAAGACAAGTGGAGTCAATTGTGCAGGTTTTTTAAATCAAAATAAAATTAGTGGAGCAGCGTTTGCTTCAAAGGTGTAAAACCTTGAAGGTGGATAACCTGATTCCAACAAGATCTGAATTGGACGATGATGATGATAGAGGTAAACAAGCACAAAAATATTCGTATAACCACAATGTTCGCTAACTGCTATATTTCATTCCATTAGCTGGCTTTAGGTTGGAGTATCCAAAACCCAAAACAAGACAAGAACTACATATATTCAACGGACATTAGTTGCAGTCTCGTTAACATTTGACCAAAACATTAAAACAAATCATAAATGCAAACCGCGATATGAGGGTTACTTAATCTTTATTCCCTGATCCAAGGTCTAAACGTAGTAGTCAAAGCCACAAGTATATTTGTCAAACCTTTCATCATTGTTTAAGAAAAACAGATATGAGAGAATACAAAACACAAATTCATCATTCTTATTCGAAGTGGCAGACTTGAGGTATAGTAGCAGACTTGAAGTGTAAGAGCATCATGACAATATATTGATATTTAATAATTCTGTATTAAGTTACATAAGATTATTACATGCAACTAAACTCTCGTATAACTCAGCATCTAATGTAATAGAAACAAGATGGATGCACAATAATATCATCATGTACTCTTTTAAAAATAAAAATAAAAACAATTTGTTGTCATTTAGTTAGCCAATAAGAACTAACTATGTATTGTTGAATCAGTAAAGTGTTAGATATAAATATTATATATATATATATATATATAATATTAATATTTTAAAAATATCAATAGTTTAAAAGAACTTTATATCATAATATAATTTTGTATCATAATTTAAAATACTAATTATGTAAATTACTACATGTTATATAAAAAAAATGCATATATAGTATATATAGGTTAGGTTCTTTCTTTAAAAATAAATTAGTATAAAATTAGAGTCTTTTATCTTCCTTCCTTTTTTTTTCAGTTTTCTTGGTTTAAAATGCTTTATTTTAATACCTACATTGAATTTGAATGTTTTATTGTCAGTTTTCATTGACGAGGTAATTGGTCATTGGACAAGGTTTCTGACAATTTGTCACATGTTACCAACTTGACCAAATTAATATGATTAACAGATAAAATTATAATTTAGTATAGCACATACATATTTTGAAGGGGTCAAAGTACGAAAAAACAACTAAAAAGACTAAATTAAAACAAAAGTAAAAATAATTAATAAAATTCTATAACTAAATAAAACTAGTATATGAATTATATCGTAAAATTTCACATTTATTTTACTAATCTTGACTCCAATTTAAAAAAAAAAATCTAACAACCCCAAATTCATCAATAGCTTGCATTTCACAATCTGTGAAAAGTCAAAATCCATGGATTATTGACTCGGATGCTTCGATCACATGTCTGGTAATACCTCTTTGTTCTCTTCTCTCTCGTTTCCTAAAACTCCTCATCTCATAACCTTAGCCAACGGATCCAAAGTAGCCTCTAAAGGAACTGGTCAAGTCTCCATTTCTCCGTCTTTAAACTTAAAATCTGTTCTTTTTGTTCCTTCATGTCCCTTCAGTCTCATTTCCCTAAGTCAATTAACCAAATTATTGAATTGTTGAGTAACCTTTAATGCCAACTCTTTTGTTATACAGGAACGTGGTACGGGTCGACAGATTGGCGAAGGACATGAATCTGGAGGCTTATACTACCTTGGGACTAAATCATCTGTATCTTGTGTTGCATCCTTGTCTCCAAAACTATTACACGAACGGTTAGGGCACCCTCACTTATCAAGATTAAAAAAAAATGGTTCCTGAACTTCAGACTCTTCAAGATTTTGAATGTGAATCATGTCAACTAGGGAAACATACTAGGTTCTCTTTTCCTAAACGTTTTGAATCTAGATGTGACTCTGTCTTTTCTCTTGTTCATTCTGATATTTGGGGTCCTAGTCGTGTCTCATCCTTTGGCTATAGATATTTTGTTACCTTCATTGATGAGTTTTCTAGGTGTACTTGGATTTATCTAATGAAAGACCGTTCTGAATTATTACCTATCTTTAAGTCTTTCCTTAACGAAATCAAAAATCAATTTGGAAAAGTAATCAAAGTTTTACGAAGTGATAATGCCAAAGAATACTTTTCTACTGATTTCTCTACTCTCTTAAGCTCCCAAGGCATTTTACACCAGTCTACTTGTCCTCACACACCACAACAAAATGGTATAGCAGAATGGAAAAATAGACATTTGGTTGAAACTGCTCGTACCTTATTACTTGGTGGAAATATGCCCGTTCATCATTGGGGAGATGTTATTCTTACTGCATTTTTTCTCATTAACAGAATGTCATCTTCTTCTCTTAACAATAAAGTTCCACACTCTATTCTATTGCCAAAGGACCCACTCTTTCATGTTTCTCCTCGTGTATTTGGTTGCATATGTTTTGTTCATGATATGTCTCCAGGTTTAGATAAACTATCAGCTAGAGCCATCAAATGTGTCTTCTTGGGATATTCTCGTCTTCAAAAAGGATATCGATGTTATTCTCCTGAAACCAAGAGGTACAACATGTCTGCTAATGTCACTTTTTTTGAGTCAACTCCCTTCTTCCCTTCTTCTATGCAGGATATTAGTTCGGTCCAAAATGTCCTACCTATACTCTTAGTGGAGCCATTTGTACCTCATCCTCCTGACACCCAAAATTCCACACAAAATACACCGGAATCCTCAAGTTGATCGACTCAAAGCTAGATTAGTAGCAAAAGGCTATACTCAGATCTATGGTCTTGACTACAATGATACTTTTTCTCCTGTGGCCAAAATGACTACTGTTCGACTTTTTCTTTGCTATGGCAGCTATCCGTCATTGGCCTCTTCATCAGTTAGATATCAAGAATGCGTTCTTGCATGGTGATCTTGAGGAGGATATTTATATGGAGCAACCTCCTGGTTTTGTTGCTCAGGGGGAGTCTAGTTTGGTTTGTAAGTTACATCGTTCTCTTTATGGTCTCAAACAATCTCCACGTGCTTGGTTTGGAAAGTTTAGTCACATTGTTCAAAGTTTTGGATTAAAACGAAGTGAAGCATATCATTCTATTTTTATTATATTGCTTCAGGAAAATGTGTTTATTTAATTGTATATGTAGATGATATAGTCATTACAGGGGATGATGTTGATAAAATTTCTTTGCTAAAGAAACATTTATGCAATCACTTCCAAACTAAGGATCTTGGTTGTCTCAAATACTTTCTAGGGATTGAAGTGACTCAATCAAAAGAAGGCATCGTAGTCTCCCAAAGAAAGTATGTTTTAGATATCCTGAAAGAAACAGACATGATTGATTGTAGACCAGTAAACAGCCCTACGGATCCAAATCAGAAATTAATGGCGGATCAAGGTGAACCGTTCTCTGATCCTGAGAGATATAGAAGACTTGTTGGGAAACTCATTTATCTCACCATTACCAGACCTAACCTATCTTTTGTCGTTGGAGTTGTGAGTCAATTTATGCAAAATTCGCGTACTGATCATTGGAATGTTGTCGTTCACATCCTAAAATATCTCAAAAAAGCTCCAGGACAAGGTCTGTTGTATGAAGATAAAGGGGGTACCCAAATATCTGGGTATTGTGATGCTGATTGGGCTGGATCCCCTATGGACAGACGCTCCACTACAGGATATTGTGTTCTCATTGGAGGCAATATTATTTCTTGGAAAAGTAAGAAACAAAATGTAGTGGCCCGGTCTAGTGCTGGAGCTGAATATAGAGCAATGACATCTCTCACTTGTGAACTAGTGTGGGTGAAACAATTCCTTCAAGAACTGAAATTTTGTGAGATCCAACAGATGAAGATGTATTGTGACAATCAAGCAGCTCTCCACATTGCCTCAAATCCGGTATTCCATGAAAGGACCAAACATATAGAACTTGATTGTCATTTTATTCGTGAAAAATTGTTGTCTAAAGAAATTTGCACTGAATTTGTCGGGTCCAATGATCAACTTGCAGATGTGTTGACAAAGTCTTTAAGAGGACCTCGATTTGAATTTATTTGTTCCAAGCTTGGTACATATAATTTGTATGCTCCAGCTTGAGGGGGAGTGTTAGAATTATTATTAGTTAATGGTTAGTTGTTAGTAGTTAGTAGTTGGTAGTTGTTGTTTTAAATGTTGTAATCCTATATATATATATATATGAGATCATAGAGTGGAGTAAGCATCCCACAAAATTAGAAATCTTGTTTTCATTTTCTTTACTCTCTTAACTTATTTAAAATAAAAAGTATTTAAATAGCATATTGGGTAAATTTATCCAATTAAATCCGTTTATAATTTATACATAAAATTCAATAATGAAAAATAAATTTCTTCTTATCTAAGTTTTTTTGTTTTCCTTTCTTTACTTTTTTTTTCTATTCATCTATTTCTTCATAGTCTTTTTTTTATCTGTTTTTTATTATTCTCTCACTCATTTTATTTTTTTAATTAAATATATTAAATTAAAATTTAATAAATAAGTCTTTTATTATTTTTAAAAAATAAAAAATATTTAAATTATTCAAAAATATTATAATTTAATATATTATATTTAAAAATATTATATTATGAATTTTATAAATTATTATATTATGATTATAAAAATATTTATTTAAATAAAATTTTAATGAATATTTTTAAAAAATAAACTAATATGATTAATCTTCATATTTCAACTTAATTATAGTTAAATTAAATTATTAAATAAAAATTATATTTAATTCATAAATATTTGATATTTTTAATTATATATATAATTAATTTATTATAATAAAATAATTAATTATTTACATTATCATAAATAAAAATATTATAATAAATAAATTATTTATTGTCATTATAATTTTAAATAATTAATTTTTATTTTTTATTTTAATATTTATATTAATATAATTTTATTTTTATTTTAATATTAATATTAATTTTTTTAAAATTATTAATACAATTTTATTAAATTTTAATATGATACGTAATCCACCGTAACATTTATAGTGTTAGTTTAAACTGTTAAACAATGTTTTTGTACCTTAAATGGAAAATGTGTTCCTTAAACTAGCAAATGAAAGATGAAGGTACTCTGTCCAATCCAATAAAAGAATGAAGGAGAAGCAGTAGAGACAGTTCCAACTCCAAAAATGGTTAAACTCAGGGTCACAGGACTGGCGTGGAACAGGACCTTCGCATTCCAAAAACCAATTTTCGTAGTAGCGTCGTGCTTCTCCACGCGCGTCGGCACACACGACGGAACCTTCCACTGCGATGAAGTACTCGCCTGCTTCATGCTTCGCCTCTCCAAACGCTTCTCCGCCGCTCAAATTGTTCGAACCAGAGACCCCGACGTTCTGGAACCACTCGATGCAGTCGTCGACGTGGGAGGCATTTATGAACCGCCACGACACCGTTTCGATCATCACCAAAAGGGCTTTCACCAAGTCTTCGATCACGGTTTTCAGACTAAACTCAGTAGCGCTGGCCTTGTATACAAGGTGTTTGTAATTTGTTCATCACTCTTTTTCCTTTCACTGCTCATGTCATAACTCAACCTAACTCATTACTCTCATACCTATTCCTCTAGCATTTTGGATTGGAGATAATTGCAAATGTTCTGAAGCTTAGCGAAGACCATCCTCATGTGCACCAGTTATATCCTACTGTATACAGAAACTTTGTGGAGGCAATTGACGCTGTGGATAACGGAGTGAATCAATATGATCTAAACGAGTCTCCAAAATATGAAATTAATACATCTCTACACTCTAGAATTAAACGCTTGAATTTGAACTGGATGGATTCTGACCAGTCTTCTGATAGAGAAAATGAGGCGTTTCATCAAGCAATGGCACTAGCTGGTGCTGAATTTTTGGAGAATTTGAATTATTATGCAAAATCGTGGTTACCGGCGCGGTCGATTGTGATGGAGAGTCTTGCTGCGAGGGAAAGGGTCTATTGGAGTGGAGAAATCATTAAGCTAAGCCGATCTTGTCCTGTAAGACAGCCCACAGTGCATTTAATCTTATGAGATTTTAATGGCTATTGTTAGAGTTTGCTCTTCATGCCAGTAGGAAGGGTGAATTACAATCTTTGCAGGATTTGGATATCATTGTGACTATTATCTAACTGAAACCTTTTCTCACTTGCTACACAGTGGAAACTTCACATACACGAGCTTGAGGAGGAAATGAAAATCAGTCCTTCTATCAAATATGTTCTTTACCCGGTACGTATGTTTAACTGAATTAGTCAAATGAACCTTCAGGATTGAGCGTAAGAGCAAATTGTTGCCTCAAACAGTACAGTTGTTTTTTTATCATCATCATATTCAGGTTACATGTAAATTTTAGGTTCCATTCTTTGTTTTCCTATTTGATCAATAACTTGAGTGTTAAATGATTGTTGTTTGTAGGATGATAGAAATGAGAAGTGGCGACTGCAGGCAGTGGCAATTTCACCTGCCAGATTTGAGAGCAGAAAACCGCTACCGTATCTTTGGACGGGTTTGGAAAATGACAAGCTGTCTGAGGTTGTTGGAATCCCAGGTTGTACTTTTGTACACATGAGTGGTTTTATTGGAGGAAATCGAAGTTATGATGGAGCTCTAGCCATGGCAATAGCTTCTTTGGAGGCTTAGCCAATGGTAGGTTTGACCTAATACCTTTTTACGTAACGTGACTTTTTGACCTCGGCCAATAATTGAACACTTGAGGTATCGAAAGCAACTGAACCATAAATGCTTTAATGCGAAATATGGTTTATTCATTGAAGCAGTATGCTTCAATTGTTCAGAAACACGGTTTATGCATGTTTCTAAGTCACACTGCTGATGAGTTATCGGACCCTTTGGCCATCTAGATATGTTTGCTGTCAATACTTGCACACTAATTTTCTACACTACTTCAATAATGACATTTCAATTCGTTGGTTCTATTTTCCATATGCATTTATGAGCATTTTCATCATCGTCAAAACTAGGTCTAGGCTTCACTAATACACATTCTTGGCACTTCATTTACTCCTCTGAAACAATTGGCAGATCCTCTTTAAACCACGAGTAAAGACCACCTTCGAGATGGAAGACATTGGTAAACCCATTAAGGACCAGCAAGTAAGCTGCGATGAGAGACCTGTGAAAGTATCATGTGTGACGACGATTAGACCGACATATCAATCATTTGAAGAGTCAATATTAATTATTTTCATAATCACACAAGAAAAGATGCACCTACAGAGAACAGCCGTGAGAGAATGATATATTGCAGACTATCATATAACTTCCCCGATCATACATCCATGCAATCCAAGTTATTAGCTGCAGTTTTCCTTTGGTATTTTAGCCGTTGAAAAACTTTTTTGGGTTTGAGAGCTAATTGCTAATTGTGGTTGGATTTGACTTAATTCTTCTCAACCATTCGTACTGTTATTATTCCTTTAATTAATAGCTTGATAGGATGGTTTACAATAATATAAATCCCATTCCCCTGTCTACTTTTAATGTCGCTGAATCCGTGCTTGGATGCAAAGCCCAAACTCATAAAATGATCTCCTCAGAATTGCATTGCAAAAAGGATACATTTCAACAAATGTCTTCAACCAATTTTGGACTATTTTTTATTCTTACATAGCATCTATGAATTTCAACGTGCAAGGTTAAAAATCCAGAAGGAGAAGAATTTGGACAATCAGCTACGAGAAGTTGAAAATAGTTAGTACCTTGATTGTTGACCTTCGGGCAGATTTTGTGATGGTTTCGTTGTACCTCCAGCTGAGCAAGCTACTATTATCTTTGCATTTTTATCCAATTTGGCTTCAACAGCTGCCAGCATAAACCAAATATTTTATTTCAGATAACAAGAAATGCAAGAATTCAAGCAGTGACATGTTGAGGTAAATTAATCGTACTCTGGATGAACTCAGGGTTCTCTTCAGTCCCTGCAAAAATACCAAAAAAAGCAAATGCAGCACGTCTTGCAATGTCCCATGCTGTCCACTCCTTTATAAGCCTATATATTTGCACATTGATAGCATCTGGAGGATGAGCCTACACCAATTGCCAAACTTATCAGTTTTATTATCCTCTGTACAGCCATATATATAATGAAAATCTGAAGGACCGTTGAATGTGCAAAAACGTTGGATTTTTAATACAAGGCTTCTAACTAACCTCTTTGAACTCTGCTTCTGGCCTAACGTCGAGAATCACAAAATTATTTTCCTTCTGAAGGCGCAGAGCTTCCTTTGCATCCACACTTCTTACCTGCAATAAGGATCATATTTTACTCCTATAAATATTTACTCTCAATATAATACAAACAAGACATCTCATTCCTTTAATTCTACAAAAAAGATTTATCGTCTATGATTGATTGTTCTATGATCTCTCGTGCTTTTCCATACCTTCATGAGATGAGATTCTTATTGTTAGTGTTCTCAATATATACACACACACACACAAAAGCATTTCAATCTTACGTTTACCGTGATGTTATGCACAGTTTGCATTTATTTCAATTTTCTTTGCACTCACTTTATCATGAAATGCTAAGGATGCAAATGACAATGTACTTGTCTGTGACACAGAGCTGGAGCTTTACCCTTTTTTGCAGCAGATATTCTCGCTTCACCTTCCACTCTTCTTCAGCTAATAACTCCAAGAAAAGTTCAAAAAAGAAATAAGGGCTATTAGGGTTCTGTGATGTCTTCCAAGTGCCATGCCAATTCAACTAAGTAAATCTAAGAGTAATTTCGAACAAGTACCTGGCGACTTTGCTGGTTTTGTGGCTGCACTCTGGATTTTCAAACCTCTTGTGATATTCTGTTGAAGTGATCTTTTTCCTGTGGATTTGCACGATCTCATTCTCCCCCACCACGAATTATAATCACGTGTAGCTTCCATAGATGGAACCAAAGAATGTAAAGATGATGTAGATGAGTACTGTAGAGCAATTGGTGTAAAAGATGCCATGCCCGTAGCTCAGTCAACTGAAGAACGAAATATGAGACCTCAAAACGTTGTGGTTAATTAAGGGTCAATGATAAATGGTTGAATTAGTGTGGAAGGTTCAGGGCTCAAGCTTGTGTTATGTAGTCGACTCTGGGTAGTGCGTGTGACAAAAGTATCTGCTAATTCAGGATATTTAGGGCTCAGAATCTGAGCTTGTGGTTGACGTTTTACGAGTCCTTTGCTATTTGGATATCTTTCCCTGTCATCATTATCTCTCTCTTTTCTCCTCTCTCTCTCTCAGCATTTAATACTTCATTTTTACCTAATTTTATAACTGGTTCAATGTTGTCTGAATAATACATTTGGTTTTTATATCACCTTCCTTTTCTTAGAGACAATTCTTTCAATATATTTTTCCATCCATTTTCATTATTATTGCCTATTTAATTTCGTATATCACCTTTTTTTGCTTACTAAAATGGTTTTAACCCCTCAATTTTTGCCCCTTGTATAATCTGTGGATCACACGAAGCCCAATTCCATTTTAAAACAAGAATGGGCCCAAAAGTGAACTACAGCAGACAAATGTTGCTCACTTTTTTTCTTTTTCAATATGTAAGAATAAGAGTTGCCCAAAAACCACGAATAACCAAAATATAATTAACCACAAAAAAGTTTACAGCCTAATTTGTTTTATCGAATAAAAATTAATGAATATTCATTTATACAAATGTAACAAGTTTGGTATGATTTGCTTATCGTAGAAAATATGAAATAATATGTACTAAATATGTAAATTAATTGACTTTATTTTACCCATTGTCTGAGGAAGAGTTATACTTTACTCACAGAACTCAAAAGTATTTTTCATTCTTAAAAACAATAAATTTTTTCTTTCTTTATTTTGTGTATTAAAACTTGTAAAATTAACATAGAAATAAAAAAAAAGATTTCTCAACTTTTATTAGAACATGTTAGAATTGTTTTCCATAATATATGGTTATAATTATAAGACTCAACGTATTAAATTAAATAATATATGGTTATTTCAACTTACTAAATGATCTTGATTTCGAATCCTAAATATATAACCGTGTTATAGTCTAAACAGAAGTAAAAGTTAATCCTATAATTTTTTTTTTATATAAAAGAATGTATATTAAAATTTTGTTTTACTGGTATGATAATTTTATCTTCATTTATTGTTTATAATACGGACGTCATATATAACATATCCTATTATTTTTTAAATTCACTTAACTATACATCATGTGTAGGGTTGGTTTGTTAAACAGTGGAATTTGCAGATTAATCCTCGAGTTCGCGAACTTAAAAATTACAGTATTTTAAATAAAAAAATTCACAAATAATTCAAAAAATAATTTTATTTAATTTGATAAATTTTAATTCACTAAAATTTAGTTTAATAAATTATATCTTAAAAAATGAGAAGAAAATAAATAAATTTATTTAAAATTAATTATTTTTTATTTATTAATAATTATTTGGATATGGAAACCAATAAATTCATCTAAACATCAAATACAAATTCAGAATTCTTTTCCGAAAATCAAATATAATTGATCATTTAAAATGTAAATTTTTGACAAATTTGTACCAAACGTTATTAAATTATGAAAGTCATTCTACCACATTCTTACTCATCCATGTGTTTGTTAACATGAATTAGCACAATGTAAAAGGAAAACAGATTCAAAGAAAAAATGGGTAGAACTAGTGAAGGTGTTTGTGGAGAAGAAAATAAAGTTGAATTATTTATGGGAAATGTCAATGCCTGGCATGAATCGTGATGATGACTTGCGAGGCAGTCATGTGATTAAATTGCTGCATCACCCACATTCTATATTCAAATATTTTTATTCTTTTTTGTATTAATATCTTCCTTACCACCTACCCACATGATATTTTGTTTCTGCAATCTACATTTAAGTCATAAAGAAAGATTATGAAACTATACATCAAATTAATTATTTATGTTTTGCAAATGAAAAAAGAGTTGTCAATATTTATTTTAAGTTTCGGATTCTGCGTCCTTTTGGATTTACGAAATTTACGTAAATAATTACACTAAAACCATCACGAGAAGCAGTGACAAATTTATTCTTCCAGTGGTGTATTTATATATTCTTTTATATATATATATATATATATATATATATATATATATATAAAGTGCATCTGTTTAGTTAGATTAATTAATTAATTAATTATTATTTTTTTCATAAGTTGGCAGTTAACGAACTAGCCTAACTAACAGTTTTTTTTTTTTATTATTATTAGGGAGTTGAAATTTAAGCTAAAAATGTTGAACATGAAAATGGTAGTTGGTCTTGGTTTTCCTGCAAGTTACCAAAATCTTGTTTTTTCTTCTACTCGTTGACCGTTGACCTCATTGATCTAATAAAAAAGATTCCATCGAATCTCAAAAACTAGAATTGAACATTGTGCTTCCGTTAAACGAGCATATTTAATTTATTTATTCATTTGTTTACCGGTGAAAAACACTACCAACATGCCAATAGTTCTTCCCAAGTAGGCAAAGTTCCATTCTTTCTAAGAATATATAGATTACATTTTGTGTGTTAAAAACTAAAAAGTAAGGTATTCCCGCATTATGTTTAAGTATTACAATTTATATATATTAAATTTACCATAGAATATAAATACAATAAATTTCACTTTATTGTTAGAATTAAACTGTAGACATATCTTTCTTCTTAACATCATATAATATTTATAGTTCTATTAAATTTTTATCATTTATTATTAGTTATTGGAATATACCAATCATTATTAAATTTTTGTTAGATCACTTTATATCCTCTGGTAAAAAAAGTGTGTTAGAAATATAAAAATTATTTGTATCTTAAGTATAAAAAATATGTTAAAATTTTATATTAACTTTTGGAAATAAATTATTTGGTTTTTTACACATTAATAAAGGGAACAAACCTTTTGAATTTTTTGTCTCTGGTGATGGTGTTGATTGTCCAAACAATTCGAATCAATTGGTAAAAGACATGGCTGGATCCCAACTGAAGCTAAAGATAGTGCTACAGTCTCGGAGAGATTGAGTGAATGTTTCAGTCTTTGTGTTATTAGTTGGTGTCATTTAATGTTATTAAAAAGTATTTAATTGACAAGTCAAATGTTCAAATGATACTGATTCAAACAAAAATAATAAATTAGATTTGATTTTGATAGAAATGATCATTATTGATAAAGATTATTAGAACATAATGAAGAATATGATATGAATTGACGGTGGTTACTGTCAAACACTCATGTTTAAGTTGATAAACATACAAACTTAACCTTGATTTTAGAGGTTATATTAACTATTTTTTCAATGGATAGGATTAAGAGTAGTATAAAACTAATAGAGGAATAAATGAAAAAAAAAACATAGGAAAGTTAAAAAAAATGTTTTACTAATGTTTGAATAATTTTTATCAATGTGATCTAACAATCATATTAGTTATTTTTATAATTCTTTAAGTAATATCTAATAAATTGTGTGAAAATAACTATTAAATGCACTTTTTTTAAATTTTTAATTTATTTTCATTTAGTAGTTAAACGAATTTAATAACATTTTTATAGAATATTATAGAATAAGTTAAATTATTACATTTTATTCCGTCTCTATTGTTATAATAGGTAGGTATACATAAAATGTCATTTGACCCAAACCCATGTCAATTGAGGTTTAAAAGGAGTCTAGGATTTTAAAAGAAAAATAGTTCTTCGATTCAATTTGTTCCAATCAATTCCTTCAATATTCAAATCTAACCAAGTTGTGTATGGAATGTTAAAAACAAAATAAAAGGTTAGGTGTCACTCTAAGTTCCTTCAATAAACACATTTTCTTAGTTTACTTTTCTCATATGGTTTTCCTTTTTTTTTTGTTTTTTTTCATTTCTCATGTTTGAATTTGAGCTAAATTTTTATATAATGAGAATCTAATGTTCTATGTAAGAAACACTATTTTTTTTGTTGGCATATGCAGTTATTGGTCAAGCATGTTTTTGACTATGGGGAGTGAAGACTTTCTTCTTCTCGCTGGTTTGATGAGATGATGTTTTTTAAACCCATGTTGTTTTTATTTTTTTGTTTTAATAAATTTTATATCTTATTACTATTTGAAAATGTTGGCAAGAATTAGTTTAAGATATATTTTATTTTATTCCACTACGATTAATTTCAATATTTTTACTCTCTACTTTTTACATTATAGGATGAAAAGGATGGGTAAGGTGGGGTCCACCGCACACTATCGATTTATGCTTTTGCAGGGAATACTAGATCCGAGACCTCGCCGCTTGGAGCGTCTCTACGCTGCGGGAAAACCATAAACCACCGACACCATTCGATTCATCAACCGTCTCATCTCTCGCCACGTGTACTATCTTTTCTCACTTAACGACGTTGATGACAACATCACCACCAAACCGCGTTGTCGTCCTCTTCATTATCTCATACAACGCCAACCCATTCTTCTTCACGCGTTTTACTCTTCGCACTTCCCACTGTCACTCACTACTCTTGTTTTCTAATACTAATCTATTATTTTTATTACAAATACATGTATTTAAAGAGTAAATTCATATATGAAAAAAAAACTCTATCTTCATTTTTTATGTTAATATTCCGTAGAGAGTCTCAATTTCATGTTTACATAATTAGGATCAACTAGTCTGAAATATTATCAATTTGAAAATTATTATTTTAAAACTAAAATACTAATGATGATTTTTATTGATTTATAATTTTTTACGCTAATGATTTATTTAGACAATTTTATGTAGAAATACTCTTAAAAAAGATTTTTTTAAATATAATTTATTTTATTTATGAATAAATTTATATATATTTTTCTTGTAAATATAGTTAAATAAGATTTTATATAAATTTATTTAATGGTCACATCAATTAGTTGAGGCTACAATATAGTTAAACACGATTAGGAATTCATTGAATGAGGGATATGGTGACATTGATTTTGAGATAAATTTATGTAAGACGAAGCGGGTCCACTAAGAATTAAAAAAGAAGTGCACATGACATAGTGTTTTTGTTACCAACATCTTTTGGTGCATGCGGAAGCAAATTAATTACCGGGTGGCATAAAGGAGAAACCGGTTTAGCCAGTTAGCTGACGGTGGAGTGGCCGCAGGGGATAAAAGCACCATTTAGAGGCATATATATAACCCTCCCTGGCTTGGTTCTTCTCTCACCCAACTCGCTCACACACGAACAGAAGGAGAAACACAGACAGAGAGTGAAAATGGAGTTGTTCTTCTACGCGGTGTTCGGTGGTTTGGCCGCGGTTGTGGCAGCTCTGGAACTGAGCAAGAACAACAAGGACCGAATCAACACCTCTTCCGCATTCAATTCCTTCAAGAACAACTACCTCCTCGTCTATTCCCTCATGATGGGTACAGATCTCTCTCCATCTCTTTAGATCTCGCTCGATCTCTTCCCTCGCTTCTCTCATTACGCTCGATCTGCATCTTCCTTCTTTCATTTCTCAATTCCCACCCCTCCAATGCTCGCTCTCGAGCCTGCCTCTTTTTTTTTTTTTTTTTTTTCTCGCGATTATTCGGTTTTATTTGTTCGTGACGGAATATTAATTATCACCAAAACTAAAATTAAATCGATGAAGCCATTGTGTTTGTTGTTTCTAACCTTACGTTCTGTTTGTTTGTCAAATTGAATGTAGCGAGAAATCAAAAGCATTTCATGCGGATCCTAGGCGATGGGTTTCTCTGTTTGTAGTGACGTGTTGTTGGTTCTGGAATTTGTGATTTTTTTTTTTTTTTTTTGCTAATAGTATGTGTACAGTGTGCATTCTATTTTACTTTTGTTTTACTCAACTCGTGTTTTATTTATTTAAACTTGGTTTTCTGATTTAATGACGTTCGATGGGATCGTATTAAAAGGAAATTTTAATTTAGTCAAGTTATCTACATCTTAAAGGGGCTGATTTATTGAATTTATGTTATTTTATTGGTTTATCTGATTTTAATTACGTTTTTCGTTATTTGATTTATGATTCTGAGGATACTGTTGTTGGTGAATGGGAAATTGAAAATGCCACTGATTGCAATCTGGAAATTGTTCTGAGGTAGCTCTGTTTGTGGTTTGTTTGTGTATGGTTGCAACTTGCATATGTGATCATGCTATTGTTGAACATGTCAAGTTGGGAATGAAGTTCCTGTTTTAGTTTTTTGAAATCTAATGCGTTTCTGTTTCTGTGGTTATAGCTGGAGATTGGCTACAAGGTCCTTATGTGTACTACCTTTACAGTACATATGGATATGGAAAAGGGGAGATTGGACAACTCTTCATTGCTGGTTTTGGGTCTTCCATGCTCTTTGGAACAATTGTTGGATCTCTAGCTGACAAACAGTGAGATGTCTTTTCGGTTTATTATTTTATCTTGCTGCATATCTGGCATAGAATTTTTTTCAGTGTCTCATGCTTTTTATCCTGAAATCAGAGGCCGTAAGCGAGCTTGTGTGACTTACTGCATAACCTACATTTTGAGCTGCATCACCAAGCATTCTCCTCAATACAAAGTCCTGATGCTGGGTCGTATTTTGGGAGGCATTGCCACTTCACTTCTGTTTTCAGCTTTTGAATCGTGGCTTGTTGCTGAGCACTTCAAGGTGAGGAATAATTTTTTGTTTTAAGACATTTGCTGTTTATTAAGAATATTTGCTCGGGATATTTTGATTAAAGACATACGGGAAAGGCACTTCACTGACTGACTTGTCAATATGGCATAAGATTTATGTCTGTGTTTTCAGGGTGTATCTGACTTGAGTTGTACGATGTAATTGTACTGCCACTGGCTCAATAGTGGCGATTATGTCCTCATAATGATAATTTGGACTGTAATTCCAAATTGGGCGAGTCTATTATGTAGTACTTACATTACGGCACGACTTCTTAAGATTTCACTCTGAAGAGTCTATAATACAACTTAAGATATTAAAACTAAAAATTTCAAAAATAGTTAGAAAGTGTATGATTATGTCTATGTTTAGCGTAACCGTCTTGGTTCAGTAAATTATGTAAGTATATTAATTGAGAGAATTGCATTATGGTATTTGGATTCATTAAATGGATACTAAGTTCATGGTGTATAGATGTGACAGTTTTCAGCATATACTTCCTGTTAATATGCTTTTTTAGTTTGTCTTGATGGCCCTTTTGTTACTTTGTGTATTTATGATTCTGAATGGTCTCTGTTTTTGTATACTTTAATTTGTCAGAGGGGCTTTGACCAACAATGGCTATCATTAACATTTTCAAAGGCTATATTTCTTGGAAATGGCCTTGTTGCTATTTTGTCTGGGCTGTTTGGAAATGTCCTTGTTGATTCATTGGCTCTTGGACCTGTGGCTCCCTTTGATGCTGCCTCATGTTTTCTTGCTATTGGTATGGCCATCATACTATCTTCATGGACAGAAAATTATGGGGATCCTTCCGAGAGCAAGGACTTGCTTACCCAATTCAGGGGTGCTGCTGTTGCCATTGCTTCTGGTAGATTCCTTACCTTGATTGATTTTCTCATTGTTTTTGTATAATGGTTTGATATGGTAAATTTGAACTCAAACCTCTTTACACTTGATAATTAATCTTTATACCAGTTTACCTATAAAAAATGTGTACATTATTATAATTGTTCAGACCGGAATTTCAATTAAGATAACATCGATAGGTCAGTAATTGCTTCTGAAGTATTATCAACTTTAGAGCTTGGTCTGACTCCATCACTTTTTCACCTAAATAATTATTAGATGTTTTTATTTACCCAAAATAAGTAATAGTAGTTGTTATTTACGCTACCCTAAATGGAATTGTTCCAGCAACGTTATATGCTTTTGCATTTCTTATTTTGATATCATTTATTTTATTCATCTCATATTGTATTCTTTGTGCTCAGATGAAAAAATCGCCTTGCTTGGTGCCATACAGTCTCTCTTTGAAGGTTCAATGTACACCTTTGTGTTTCTATGGACTCCTGCATTGAGCCCAAATGATGAAGAGATACCCCATGGTTTTATTTTTGCAACTTTTATGTTGGCTTCAATGTTGGGAAGCTCACTTGCATCCAAGTTGATGGCCCGTTCTTCACTCCGAGTAGAAAGCTATATGCAAATTGTTTTTGCAGTTTCTTCTGCTGCTCTGCTGCTCCCCATTTTGACCACCGTATGCTATTCTTCCTATATATTCTTCTCTTTTACCCCCTAGTATTCTGATTAACATCTCACATCATTTTGGCTGTGTCTTGTCTTGGTTGTTGTGGAACAGTTCTTGGCATTTCCTACTGGGGTGAAAGGTGGAAGCATCTCATTCACTGGTTGCATTCAGCTTCTTGGCTTCTGTGCTTTTGAGAGTTGTGTTGGCATATTCTGGCCATCCATTATGAAGATGAGATCTCAATATATTCCCGAGGAGGCCAGGAGCACCATCATGAACTTTTTCCGCATTCCTCTGAACATTTTTGTGTGTGTCGTGCTGTACAATGTATGTTAAACAATCTTGTACTTTAATTCTACGCTTGATCTTAATAATTTTTTTGTGTTTTTACCAATTATGTATTTTGTCTGTAGGTTGATGCATTCCCTATCACTGTTATGTTTGGCATGTGCTCAATTTTCCTTTTGGTGGCTTGCATCTTACAAAGGCGACTGATGGTGATTTCAGATAAGCCAAGTAAGACCATTTCACAAATTATCTGTTGCTAAAGTTGATTTAGATATAGGATTGTGATGAGTTCAAACCTTATTTAGACTAATTTGCTGTGTTATAAAGTTATCTCATCTGGTAATTACTGGTGCACCTTTGGCTTCATTGCTCCTTCCTGAGGTTGTTCTTGTAGTTCTCTGACAGTTGAGCAGAGCAAAACATTCTTGTGTGGAAGATGTCATATTTGATTCCTATTTTGGTTAATTTGGGAGCGTGCTCCCTCCTTTTCTTTTTTATATAAAAACATTCTCACTTTGAGCTGGTATTATTTTTGTTTGAAACAGAAGCAGCAGATTGGCAAATGAAGGATAGGGACGGCGAATCAGAACCATTGAACATTTAACTGGCTTTTGCGTTAAGCTTTGCGGAGTAACGGAATTATAGCTACTTCAGTCTTACTAAAGCAGTTTCTGTCTACGACTGTGTACGATGCGATTTGAGTAAAGGTAAACCTGATGCTCACAAAGAGAAGAAATTAAAGCAACAAGCAGAAAGGACAAGAGGAGCAATTTTTAAGTATTTTTGATATAAATATTGTAGTGCATTAGATTTTCTATTAGATATTATTGGGTATTACTTGAGGAGAAATCTCCGTTTTGGTAGTTCTGGTGGTATTCTTTTGGGGGACAGTATCTAAGTTTGTCCCGTTGGGAATAGTATATATGCCATACTATTTCTTTCTTTATCTTTTAATTTTGTAATGAAAAATCGCACTCCATTCAATTAATGCATTTTTTTATCTTCAGTTATTTTCCTTGCCCGATAATGATGGTGCTTTTGTTGATACTACGACTACCAGCATTACGCGCACTATTTTAAGGATGCTACAATATATTCACTTTCAATTGACGAGTTAAACCGGTTTCAATAGTTTACTCAAGTTCTAAAATGTTTCGCCCAATCTTTTAAGTTTTTTGTTTTTCGCACCGAGACGATAGACCAATAATCAGAGATTGTTATCCAAGAGAATAGTCCCTTTCTGCTGAAACGATTGATCGATGGGACAGTGCATTGTGAAGGGTTAGTTGGGTCGGCGTGGAGAGAAGGGTGTGATCGCGTGTACAGTCAATTGGCAACCAACCAATTTAAGTCTGCCCCTGAATCGACCACGACTTGCGCTTCTTCGTTAAACTTTTCAATCTTTGCAGCTGCGGCTGCCTGCATACATCATTCTCTGTCGGCATCACTTTTACATCTAAAGTGTAAAAAAATCAATTTTATAAAATTTAATTAATTTCACATAATAAATAAATTATATATATATATATATATATTTAAGTTTATTATAAGATTTAATTTACAAAAAAAATTTAATCAATAAAGGTTAAATTTTTTTACTTGGATTGAATTGAGATTTTGAATCAAAAGTAGTTTTATCTAATAATATAGCATGCATATTTTCATAAAATTAACCGCGAGTACAGTAAAAAAATGTTTTTTCATTATTTCTATCATGAAACTAAACACAATCTAACTCTTCAATAAAATTTATTAATTTTTAATAATAAAATAGGGACTTAAAAGAATAAACACTGACCAAATTGTTTTTTTTTATTGTTTATAATATTTACTTGTTTAAGGTTTACCAAGAAAAACGAAACAATAAAATTGAACTTGTTGATCCAGGTAACGAACTTGCTATTATGTTGCTTTTTACTTGAATCTTCAAACAAGTTTACTAACAGTAAGGCTACTTCATATACTCTTCTCCCTGTTTGCTTTATTTGCTTCGTTTATAATTTCAAAACTCAACTTAAAACTTGTTGATCCAGGTAAAAGACTTACTATCAATAATATTATCTCATTCATTTTTTTCCGTATACAATGAAATTGAATTTAACATTTCAATCCTAGCCTTAACCTATTCTACGTACCTTGTTCCATATTTAACTCAGCACTAGGGAGAGGGGAAATTATGGAACTAATGAATGCCCATCAACTGATCAGATTATGCAGTATATCTGCACAATGGTTTAAACAAACTTGTGTAACAGGACAAACTACCACTTGTGACTTGTGTGATTTTCATGACTTATTTGAAAAGGCTACATCACCCAAATTATTAAAATAACTGAATACAGTGATTGATAAGTATATACATGAAATAATGCTTAGATATACAAAGAAGTTTTACAGTGAAATTCACTAATGGATTGAATACTACACATGATTATATCACACGGGTACGTTTTGCTTCTGCAGAAGCAACTTCTAAATCTCCAATGAAAAAAAGGATTTTATCCAAAATTCCACGACATGATCTCTCTTCAGCTAGAGAACTTTCTCCATTGAAGTCAATTTCTGAATGACAGCTGTGACCAGTACCCTTTTTCTGAATTTTTCTTGAACCCAGATGTCGCTGTTTCTCTCCTTGGTGAACAAGATAGTAATCAATGCCTTCTCTAATAATCTTCAAACCCCTATTTTGTCATAGATGAAATAAAGTAATTTCCTTCATGTCAGAGTCCTATCATTGTTGCAACAGACTAGAGTGTTATTGTAGAGTGACAACTGAATTCCCCTTGTTTGCTAATCCAAAACAATTTTAGGACAATAATTGGTTTTGTTGAATAATAAAAATTCATGTAAAAGCTTAAACTAGTTCTAGGTAAGAGGAAACCAACATCAATGTTTTAATTGCAGTTAGTAGCAATAATTTTAAAATCAAACCAGAAGTATTTGATTTAAGGTTTAATCGTCAAACACTCATCAAAACCGGTATTATAATAAAATAATTATAACAGTTAAAGGACACACAAGTTATATTAAATTAACATAATATTGTAACTTTATAACACTAAAAACTGAATATAAAATATTATCTTTTAGATTTCGTAAGGTTTAAAGCACACATAAAAGTGCGAATCCAATATGGATCTCAGTAAGAAATTATAGAAGAAGGAAATAAGAAAAAAAATTGAGCTCTTTCTTTAGCTAAAATTATTTTATACATGAGTTAATATATAAAATTCTCTATTTAAAAGATGTTTTTTTATTTCACATAGAAATTAATTTTAACTTATGGAGAAATTTACTTTATTTTTCCTTTTTTATTCTCCTATAAGTGGTTCTGTTAAAAAATATCAAAATAAACCCAATATCATAATACTTAATTCTATGTTTCAAAAATACAAATCCAAGACCACTAACGATAACAAGTTTACATCTAAAAAGAATTCAGAAATGCTTTACGTAGACTTTTTTCACATTTTAAGCAAAACATTAGGACGACGTAGTATATTAATCTCTTCTACTGATCTTATTATGAATTGACTTTTGACCACTTTTTGTCCACTTTTCTTGACCAATTTTTCTCAAAGTGATTTTTGTGGTTTATTTGAACCATTCATCTAGAACGATTTACCTGCATTCCAATCAAATCGACCAGTCTAGTCTACGTTTCAAAGCACATGTTACTAGCAGTTCAGTTCATGTTGAAGAGATAAAATAATGCATTCGGGTGATTATGCAAGGAGAAAGCAAAACTTTGATCATCATCTTCATGGCATTGAAAAGATGAAACAACTTACACTCCAATCCGATCACAACGATCTTGCACCTCATACACATCTTTCCATGATTTTGAACCAATTGGAGCATAGAAAGCAGAATGATCTTCCCCCCATCTCTCTTTAAAAAGGTTAGACCATAGAACATTGTCTGAAGCCACGAGCTTCCACTTCCTACATACTGCACAAGTGCAACAAATTGTGTTGTTCATACCTTACTAAAACCAGTTAATATAATTCTGAATCTAAAGATTATAAGTTAAAACTTGTTAAATTACACTATTATATGGTGCAATTTGTTCACCATTATCACTCCCAGTTGGCAATTACCAAATCCTTGATTCTCACTCGTGCTTTATAGATGAAAGCAGTATTATGACTAACAGCAGAGAGAAGACAAAAGAAAATGACACAATGTTGGGAAGAAAATTCCAAAATCACAAGCAAGAAAACTCGCAATACAAAGTAAATTTTAGAGGTAAATATAGACTGTCCTCATTTAAAATGTTTTAAACATTGGATAATCCGAAAGACAAGATAATGATTATAAATGAAACCAGAGGCCTCCACTATAGCGCGACTTGAATCTCAATCTAAATGATTTCTACTTGGAATATTTAGGCAGTTATTTATTTATTATTGTTTTATGAAAAATCTAAGAACTTTGAGAAGTTTCAAAAATATTCTCACCAACTAATTAAATTTTTTGTTGTTGTCTAGAAAAAACAACATTAGGAACCTCACACATCTTCCCTCCCCAAATGTTTTTATCATGAGCCTATCCCAAGAACTTTTGAATGGATTCAATTGCATATGTAAAAAGTGGCAGACATCAAATGTCTGATGAAACTTAAAATCACATTATTTACTCACCACTGATCAAAACAACTTCAAGTTAAATATTAAAAAACAGATGAAATATCAATCTATGCAACATCAAGTGGCAAAATGTGGCCAAGCTCCGGATGTCATCGAAGGGAGCTGTGTAAATGTGTTGTGTTTCTTGAAAAGCATGGCCAAAGGAACTGTTTCAAGTTTATTGATAAAGAGAACAGTGGTTGAAACTGTGTGGTAGGAGTCCAGATGACCTAGGCCAAAGAAATGCTTTTTTTTTCCCTTTCATAAACTCTTCAGGCTTCAGGAATTAAGACCTTCAAGTCTGGGGCCAGTGTAAGGCTAAGATGACATAAATCAAAAGGGGCTAACTTAAACCGAATATCTCGCCCATAACTTAAACTTGCACCATCAAGGCATAACCAAGATAACAACACCTTAATCTATGATTAAGGCATTATTGGGCACCAGCCAAAGATCCATTTTGGTAAAAACCCCATTAAAATAGAATAAGTGTCTTTTGCAATAAACACTCGCTGGTCAAATACTTGTGTATGCTGAAGGAGATATCTCCACTGCGAGAGAAGAAGGAGAAACCTTTACAAGGTAAATAGGAGAGGAAGCAACATGTGACAAAAGTTGCAGTGTTCATTTGTTTTTTCCCCCAAAACAAAACTACACAAAACTAAATCCTACTCCTTATTCTAGTTTGATATGTTCTACACTAGTCTCTGTATTGCCTTCAACCAATTGTTTCTGATGGCAAAAATGCGTCAATTCAGACATTAAAAGGAAGGAAGAGCCAGTGATTGACATGATTTGGGGAAAACTGAACAATCAAATCAACCGAATTTAGAGGATCATATTCATCTCATGATCACTTCAATTTCAGATCCAATTCAGTAGAAAACATGACAGACTATGCATGCCAAGTCAATCGAATCGGACGAATTGAAGAAAGTCAATTCAGATCTAATACCACTATTTCAACACATTGAAGACACTACTGATTGAAATTTCGATATCAATTGCAACGCTAATTGGATTAAAAACAATATTAATAATAATATATTTCCAAACAGAAAAGGACGTGAAAATGAAGAAAGCGTGAGTGGCTGAGGCTGAGGCTGAGGCTGAGGCTGACCTTGTTGAGCAACAGCAAGATGGTGGTAATCCAAAAGACAGAATATCTTCATACAGATTTCCAAAGGCAACCTCCCCATTTTCGAAAACTTCACAATAATCTTAAACTGAGACAATTCATGCAACAATAACACCCATTTTCGTTAATTGCTGTGTCTGACTAGGAATGCAATAAGCAACGACAGCTGCATTTATTGTGTAATATAATATTATTATTGCATCATTTTCGCGCGTAGATATATATGTTCGGTACTCGCTCTATCCATCATCCATTCATCATCAGATTGCATCCTAACGGCTTTATAATTAATCATTGTTTATACAAGTATTTTTCGCTACGCCTATATTTTTAAGAGTTTAATAATATAAACAGAAATATTATACAGTAAATGAAGTAAAATGGTTATTAATATAAATTTTAAAATAATTACTATAAAGGAATTTATCATTTATCTGTTATTAAATAATTATTTACATGTTTTTAGTCTCTATTTTTTTTATGAATTTTTTATAATTTTTTGTTATTTTTTTATCCTTACAAATACATTTTCTTTTTTACTTTTTAGTCCATTAAAAAACTTGTTTTAGTTTCTTATAATCTAATATTTACTCTTATTATACTTTATGACATCATCACAACAATAGCATATCATCACGATTAATCACTTCATTATTTTTTAACTAGCAACTACAAACAAAATGTTGGAAAATTACAAAAACGAAAACTAAAATCAATTCCGGAAACAGAAAGTAAAAATTTAATACAGAACTAAAAATATGTTTAAACTTAATTAAATACCTTATATATTTTTTTCCACTTTTAAGCAATAAATAATATATGCCCTAATCATAAGTTTAATCATAGATGTTTATTATGATAATTATATTTTATAATAGTTAATTAAAATTAACTTTTGATTAATTGATAATGTAAACTTTTTATGGATGCTCATTACATTCATCTTGAAATATAATTTTAGCAATGTTTATATTTAAGTTTTAAGTAAATTTTAAAATAATACGTATTTTGTTATAAATAATTAATATATCAATTGTTAAATACAAATGAATTAAAATACGTTTAGAAAAATTAAGAATAACTATTACAGTGTGAAAATAATCTATTTACTGATTGAGAATGAATTTTATTATTTAATATTTTAAAAATAATGCATACTAATTAAAATCTAAATAAAAAAATATCAAAATATCAAAATTAAGATGCACCATGTTCGTTGAATTAGTCTACCAAAATTTAAAATTGATATCAAATTTAAATTAGAGACTAACATGAAAGCAAAATCAAAATAAAATTAGTTCAGCAATATAAAATGAGACAAGTGATGTAGTAAAGTAATACATAATTTGTAGAAATACACTCGGTCACTCGTATTTAAAATTAGTATTTTAATCTATATATTGCACAACAGAATAAATTGTAATATGTTTAATATATTAAATACATATCTAATGCATCAAATACATTTTAAATTCATGATAAATAATTTACATTACAATATAATAATATTTTAATTATTCATATTTTCTTTTAAAGTATTACAAATTATGCTAGAATTTGAAAACGATAAGTTTAAATAAAAAGGTAGAGGTTAAAAATATTCTAAAATCATTTACAGTTAAAGATACATTTACATTAGGATTTAATTTTGATTGATTCACAAGAAAATTACATGATATGTTGTTTCATTCTTTATAAAAAAAAGGGGGAAAAAAAAACCTTTACTATAACTAGATGTGGGGTGCAGGTGTAGTTTACTCCTTATTCAAATCTCTAGAAAGCATTTTAGATTTGTTATCCAAATTTAGAGTAGATAGGTTACAAACGACTCTGTAATTCACTGGCAAACGAAATAATAAATTTTAAGTAAATGTTGAAATTCATCTTTGAAGAAATATAAATCGGTTCACCCTTAAACATTTTTACACATTGTTTTTTTTTTTTCCAAAATAAGTTTAAATCTAAAAACAAAAATTAATGGTCAAAGATATATGGAGATCTAATATTTACAAGATTAACCTCATAGCCAGTAGATATAATACACAAACTAAAATTATTTACAAATTGAAGTTGTTTGTTATTATATATCATGAAGAGTAATTATCTTTAGTGAGTGTGGGTTGTACGTACTACAAGAATAACTTAAATGAGGAAAATTTTTGTTAAACAATGTATCAAGCTAAGTACTACACGATTTGGCTAGAGCAAAGGAATATCAATATAGTTTGGCATGCCATTAATGTTTTAAAAAAAAAATTGCATCTCATCGGTGAAAAACGCCAGATAACAGCAGGGGCAACACCAGTTCCCTCAAACTGAAGTATTTTTCTCCCCATGCACATCATTTATTTGATACTGATTCTACCATTCTCTTCATTTATTTGCCACTTCAATATTCTGTGCTATTCTAATAATTAAATGAAAGTGAATAAACTGAATTTTCTCCTTCTCTTGGTTTAGTAAACAATCGAACGCACAGGTCTCAAAGCTTGAAAGACAGTTAATTATTAACCAATACACATTCTCCTGTTTTCTGTTGAGTAGACAAGTACACAAGTCCCAGCCACCTCCGAATACACATATACATGAATTTTTAAATCTCTAACTATCATTTCCTTTGACCAAGTATTCATCTCTATCAAATAGAAATTTATATGTAGATAGTAGGTCAACAAAAACCCCTGGATCCTAATTGATACAAATGCTACCCCTAAAAAGAAATCTGCCGAAGGTAAAAGGGGTGGCAGGGGTAATCAAATTGAAACGATTATCAACTAACACTAGCAGAAAGCGATGGCAATATGGATTGAATGAAACTACTAAGTTTGCCTCTCAAACGGCCAACGGTATTTTTCAATGTTTTACATGTCTTCTCAACAGGGAACTCGTTGACCTGTAGCATGTGAAGCTGCATTTCCAGATACCTATTAAGACTAGCCCCGGCAATGTTAATGAGACTAAGTGATTCATTACTGTGCATAAATTTTGTGACAAGAAATCCAGCTAGAATATGTTGATCAGCCTTCACAAGTTCTGAAATGAAATTAGGGAAAAGGATCCTTGTGAAAAGAAGTAACTGATTTTCATGATCTTCATTGTTGTGAATTCCTCTACATGACACCAGAGCTTGTTGACATTGATTGGATAAATTTCCAACCAAATAGCAGGTATAAGAGAAAATAGAACCATAGGTAGAGTCAGTGATGATATACGTGAGAATTCCAGAAGATAAAATGAGAATTAATAACTCATAGTCCTTGCCCCTTGTTTGAGGGATGCCTTGTCTTGTGCTTTCCTCAACTGCACCCAGACACTCCAACTGCAATGTTTTGTAAGGTAGCAATAATGCCATCTTCAAAGCCAGAATGCAATCAATGCCTAATGCCATCTGGATTAAGCTGCAGGCATCATTTTCATCAAGTAACATAGCATTAGGTTTTAATGATGATTGATCAATAAGTCTCAGCACATCACTGAACCTTGATAGGCTAATGAATTTTCTGAATATCTCCGTCCAACACACATGCAAAGGGTGAACAAAAACAGAGTCTTCTATCTTCTTCTCTTTCTCAGGATTGTCTACTTCCTCGAGGCTTTCCCATCCCTCGTCCCAATCATCATTATTCCAGTCATTTCCACCATCAGGTGCTTCAGCAATGGTTTCTCCATCTTTCCCTGCGGTGAAAAGTCCATCCCACTCTTCCAAAATAGTCAGCAGAGCATCAAAGTGAAGATCTTCACTAGCTTCTCCACACAACCCCATAAAGCAAGACACAGCCGTGTCTGCATTCAATAGATCATCAGGGGTAATTTCTATTCTAGGAGAGATTGAGGCCACAAGCTGAGATGATTTAAGAGCAACCAAAGTATTTGTAACCCTACTAGAAGAGTCTTTGTGATCTGGCAAAGACTTGTCAACATCGGTCTCACTCTTTCTACCAGCATAAATCAATTCATTCCATTCTTCCCATGGTTGAACATTAGCTAGTATTTCTGTAGAGAAACCCTTAATGTTTTTACCCGAGATAAATTGCATTAGCTCTAGCACAAAAACCCTGACAGAACTTGGCAACTGCAAATTGTCAGAGAACTGGACCATTCTTTCCCAAATTACATGTCTAACACATTGCATAACTTTTAGATCATCTTCTAGCTTGCTTAAAGAAGACAATATATGAAACAGGTTCTGGCTCTCATGGGATCCACTGATCAATTCAGACAGAACAGCTTCGAGAATATGTAAATAAAAACGAGGAAGATCCTGGGAACCTGTGCCACAATCAGAAGCTGAACCAGTTTCTGATGATGCAACAGAAAAAACCTCTGCTACGGCACCAAACCCACAACCAGAAAAAATCATAGCTCTGCAGAAATTATAAATTTCTGCAGAAGAATCACCATTTAAGCCGCAAATGACATAGCCATACATGCTGCCCCAGCCCTGACTAGGGGAGATGATATCTTCCATCACCAATTTCATAAAAACCTTCAGACAACTCATTAAACATTGTGGATTGAAGCAACTAGTTTGTCCTGAATTTTCCTCCAATGCAATTTCCTCCATATCATCAGTCAACCTCATCCAAAAGTTCAGAAGAACAATAAGGCACTCTTGCCATGTTGAATTGTCAGGTAGGAGTCCATATGAACCGTAGAAAGGTATGATTATAGTGAAATACTGCTTCATGATCCCCAAAGCATCAGACTGGCTTAAAAGCCTAATATACACTCGGCACAAATCATAACTCTGCTCAAGCTTGTTTATAAAGCCTTGCAGGTATTCAGGAGTTCTAATGCTAGAATCAGTAGTAACTTTAGTCTCCAATGTTTTCAGTAAACTTAGGACGTAATACTTGTAGATATCCTGCCATGACATGAAACCATCAGGCAATGAGTCACCATAAATACTGACAAGAGTCTGTACCATTTGTGACAAAGCTGACAAGCTACTTTCCTCAATACATGCATAAACTTCATCACTAAAGCACTCAAAGTTCAAACCATGTAGCCCAGCAATATTTTTGAAGTTCAGGTTAGTGATAAAGGATACATTTTTACATTCTTGCTCGATGACCTTGTAATATTGAGCTAAGCTTAGATTGGCATTTACATGATCAACCTGAACTATTGGTGATAAATCTTTGGTAGTTTCCAGTAGCAAGTAGCACTCCGATAACAAGCCATACACATAAGCAAGGCGAAGTTTGTTACACCCATCAATTGCAGGGTATACAATTGTTGAGATGGTTTCAATGGTTTTCTCACTATTACCAATTATTTCCCCTTTATAACCTGCAACTTCAGCTGTAATATCATCATTGCTCCAAGTATCAGAAACAAGGACAGCACTTAGGTAACGCACTAGCACCTGCACAAAAACAAAGTAAATAGGTTTCTTCAATAAATTATATTACATTTTGTTCAAAGAACAAGTTGAATTAAACCCTGAAGCAGTTAGAGATCAGATTAAAACAACGTTTATATTTGAAAACCCCTTCAATTGAAACCACTGATTGAAAAAACTACAAGTTTATGCTTACTTTATACCAAAAACTAATACTACTTGACAGTGAACTTACTAAGATATTACTACAGCCAAGAAAAGAACTTTTTAAACATCATCAATAAGATAAGGAACTAGAAGACAAGTAATTTCATTGCAGGCAATACGGTTTTTCTCATGGTTTACATGTCAATCCATTCTTGGAAATCCTCATACCTCAGTACAGTTCAGGTCATAAGTGTCAGCCAACTTTAAAATGTCCTTCAAAATGTGCTTTCTTTCTAACTTTACTGACTCAATGAGAGAGATAACAACATTCTCAATATAGATGGAATCCCTGGACAAAAAGCGCTCTGTCTCAACCCCAGGAATTATTTTCTCTAGTGCTCTGGAATGCTCAGTGAGACGTTTTTGCTCTTCTAACTTCAATTTCCACTCTCTCCAAAATGAGGACTGTACCTTGCCAAGTTTATCCATATCATCTGAATAAAAATAATCAAAACAGTGTCTTAGTTATGGATGTAAAGTAGTAAGAAAAAATGGTGGAAGAAAGTAGTCCACAATCAATAGAAGCATGTTCGTCAAACAACATTTTATGTAGTGACAGAAACGAAAGTAAAAGTTATGCAATTCAAGAGTTAACTACTAAATAAATATATAATTAACAGAAAATGATAGAAAAGCCAATAACCAGAACTGGGTGATGCCTGCTTTTTCTTAAACCTCCTCTTTAATAGCTCCTTTCGTTGCGAAGGATCAGTCTTTATTCCAGAGTTGTGGAGTAAGCTGTACGCCATCCCAACATTCATGATACTACAAATATCTTGATAGTCTTTTCTTATTTTGAGTTGTTCTTCTATAACTTCTACCCCAGTGAAGGCATCCACAAGATTCAGAAGATAGGAGCACCCCATTATGTCTTCCTCTTCGGTGACTGGTGGTTCCATAGTTGATTTTGCTAGAGAGACAATCAGATTGTCTCTCGGAGCAAATCCATTTCTTGCCAACCAGGACAAAATGGTTACCACAGCTTGTGTTCTGATATTTAGATATTGCTTTCCAGTAATAAGTTTTTTATGATGCTCTCCTTTCTTACTTAATTCAATCAACCAAGGGAGCTGTGAATCAGCAAAAGACAGAACTTTCCCATTTTCAGTCAAGATTGATGCCCAATCAGTTCGATCCCCAATAGCCAAGGTTTTTGCAACTATGGAAAGCTCATCTCTAGTTTTCTCAAGATGAACATCCTGATTGTCAGCACCAATATTATCAAACTCCTGGAAGCAATCATTTCCATCTAGTATATTTTGAAAACTTTGTTTTGGAAGTGAGTTTAGAGATGATGAGCCTTGCACCGAAAATTTGGAAGGATTTGTCCCTGTTGATATCATCAATATTTCACACTGCCCTTGCATATCTAGATCTTTCCATGCATGGAGAAGCTCACCAATAGATTCCTCATCACAGTGGCTTAAAGCAAATCCTAATAGCTGCTTTCGAGAGTCCACATCCATATTATCAAGGGCAGGACCTCTTGCAATTGCAGCACATAAATCCCATATGGTACCATGTCCCTTTCTGGCCAAACCAAGACAAAGATCAAATGCCAATTGTAAATCACCAGAAACTGCAGCCTCTCTAGCAATAGCTTCCTCAACAGCTGATATGTCATCAGCAGACCTTAAGCCAAGAAGTCTTGCAACCTCAATAAGTTCATCAACATGAAAATATGCTCCACTTTGATTTGTGATTGCCATTTTTATAATTTCCATAGGATCTTTAATTTGCCTGAATTGCATGGGCAGAATATTCACCCCAAGGTTTGGAAGTTTAACGGTAAGTGCATCAATAATATCTGCCTCTGCCTTTACATTTCCACTACTCGGATATAGATTAAGACATTCTCTGGCCTTCCAGATCTAGAACAAATTATAGCAACATAATTAATAAATTCATCTAGTTGAGGATAGGTTAGCATAAACATAGCTGCTTAAAGAAGACTATCGGAAGCAAATATGGTCTTTTTAGGTGAATTAGAAGACAAGGCAGTTAACAAGAGCATAATATATATTAAACTCTAGTTTTTATCATTGTTGTAAAGTATGTAAAAATTGAGAAACAAATAAAAAAACTGAATATTTTGCAGAATAGTTCTTACATAAAAAACAGAATGCATGGTTGTTTTAACATGATGGATTCAAAATCGGGAGAAAGGGTAACAACAATTTTAAACATTGGATGTCAGTTAATAAGCTGTTAAAGGCGATCTTACTTCAGAGCAAGAAAGACTTGAAGCTGAGAAAAAGTACTCCCTAGCTGCTTGAATGACAAGGTTTTCAGCCTTCTCAGACGCCAAAGCAACTGAACTTGTCCCCTTCAAGTAATTTCTAGCAAGAGAAAACTTTCCAGCTTTGAGCAGTCCTCTACAAAATTCAGTCAAAATATACTCCAGGTCCAGAAAAGGAAATGCCTTTTCCCTCAAAGACTGCATATCTCGCCACATGCTCGCCCATTCACTATCTGATCGGCTAGGCTGACGGCGAATAAACTTAGAAAGAATGAGACGTATAATCTGTTTAACACCCTTTTCATCCAACTCAGCACCTAGGAAAAAGTTTAATGGCTTTGGTACCTGTATAGATCCATAAAATAACATTAAACAAAATATATCTGCAGAACAATGACATCAATCATAGGATCATATTGCAAAGTAGTGGAGGGGAACAAATGCTAAATGGAAATTATGCAATCCAAGCTAGTCACACACAAAGGTTGTACAAGTTTGGTTGAACATGGAGGTTAAAGTACCAACCTGGTAAAATGCCAAAAGCCTCCCTGCTTCAATGTGACCTTCAGTAATTCTAAGTCTTCTCTCAAGGTCCTCAACTCGAATTGCACCATCTGTTCAATAATGTACTCATGAATATATTGGAACTAAATGAACCTAAATTAGCTGCGTGAAATCCACACCAATTCAATCAACAACACATGCAGGCACACATATTTGCAACATGTGCCATTGTATGTTTTGGGATTAAAATGATATGCATACCTCACCTTAACAACACAAGTATATGTCAATCAAATATACAACACACAGGCAGGAAAACAATATTGGATAACACAATTGCAAGCAGAAATCTCGTCCACATTGAATGACAAGAAAAGCCATTTTCAGCACTGGAGACAATACTCCTAGTGAAAGAAAATGATTTGGCAAGAAACACTTCAGATAATTGTGTTCCAGGATCTAACACAAGGAACCTGCCACAAAAATGTTACACACAGGACCAACAAGACAAAGGATGGTAAAATTTCCAAAAGTTTAGAGGAAGATTAGTATGGAAAGTGTTAAAATAGGCTTATAAATTTTATTAAAATGTTGTTTTGAGTTGTAAGTACCTGAGGTCCTAGAGGTGCCTTTACTTGTTTTCTACTCTTTTTTCTTTCATTATATCTCAGATTGAGACTACATTTTCTATATAACTATAAGAACCTAAGAGATACTTTTTCAAGCTCTCTATTTTCTCTCTTTTAATTTTCTCAAGTTAGTGTCAGGTCGATCCCACACTGCCTGTCCTTCCCTAGTCTAGGAGGAAAACGCTGTTCGGCCATTGCTACCAGCTGTCACAATTTGCTCCGACAATCTAGGGCATCTCTCCAAGCGATGGCTAAACCCCACTGCTCTTGAAGACAGACTCTACCTTACAAACCACCACAAATAACATCTTTATCTAGTGAATCAATCACATGTTGCTCATGCATCACCTTCTAGTCACCTTAGTATGCCATTCCGCTATGGTTGGGTTGTTTGGCTCCCTTTTTCTCTTTGTAAAGTTCCCTTTTCACCCCTCTTATCTAGTCAGAAGTGCTACACAATGACAAAAGTTGTACTTTCAACTTGCTTTATTGTGGCAATTTGTGTAACTCAATATACTGAGAACCCTCAGAACTTTTAAAATATCAAACCTTTTGGAAGAAGGCCCGGAGTATTATGTTTCACATGACATTTAGTGGCTCTATGATTTTGCCCACAAGTTGGCATCTTTTAAACAAACATTTCATGATATGATGTCTTTTGTCGCTAAAGGTGAATTTGTTGTTGAGGAGTTGAAATGTTCTTAGAAACCAACACCCTAGTAGAAATTAAGATGAAGCTAGACAAGTAATATATGGTTATGATCCTCCATGTTAGGAATCTAGATGTTGATCATATTAGGGATAAAATCTTAATAGGTCAAGAAATTCCATCCATGGAAATCTTGACAATATGACTTCCTGTTCATGTTCTTAAAAGTATAAATCTATCTACATGTGGAAGAGCAGGTCATAGAACTAGAAGACATGGTGGTAGAAGACATCTTCAATGCATGTATTGTAAAAACATAGGTAATAATAAAGAAATTGTTACTCTCGACATTGCTTTCCTAACAAGACAACAAAAGTTTTCTTATGAATAATATAAAGAATATTTAAGGTTGAAATTTAATAGCCTAACAAAATCATCTACAAATCTCAGTTTGTCAACAACTTGTATTTTACAACATGTGAAAAGTCGAAGTCCATGGATACTAGAGTTAGGTGTCTCTGATGATATTTCTCATAATACTCTTTGTTCTCTTCCCTTTCTTTTACTAAAATTACTCATCTCATACCTTAGTCAATGGGTCTAAAGTTGTTTCTCATAATTGATTATGTTTCCCTTTCATCCTTAAACATAAATTTTATTTCTCTTCTTCCATGTCCCTTCAATTTTATTTCTTTAAGTCAATTAACCTCTGTCATTACATTGTTGAGTAACCTTTGATGTCAACTCTTTTATCAGACAAGAACATGGTACAAGTCAACTGATTAATGAAAGACATAAATCTATAGGTTTATCCTATTTTAGAACTAGTTCATTTGTGTCTTGTTTTGCATTCCCATCTCCTAAACTTCTACATGATCGATTTAGTGTTAGAGATTTTACACTAACTCAAGATATGACCAAATTATAGTATATGTTGGAAGTACCACATCACCTGCCTCATGTCATGTGATATGGTTTAAATACCTGTTAGGCTACTCCACATATTGCCAATTGGTTTTATGCTGGAACCTTAACATGGTATTAGAACCAAAGTCTAACTTCTTTCTGATTATTGTCTTAGGTCAAAAGTTACCCTTAAAATACCCTTTACCTAATCCGAGAGGCTTTGTTGGAGGGGAAATGTTGGAAGTCTCACATCGCCTATCTCATGTCATGTGGTATGGTTTAAATGCCTATTAGACTACTTCACATATTACCAATTGATTTTATGTTGGAACCTTAACAGTTTTGTAGGGTCAAGTTGGGCCTAAGTCTATTATCTAATATGGTATTAGAGTCTATTTTCACAAGATTTGTTGCGTGTATTATATCACCCAATATCGCGCTGCTATCAAATCACCCACACATATTCAGTCCCGCATTATCATAGTCCTCGCCATGAAAGGGTGTGTTAGAGACCATCCACGCTCCCAAGATGCCGGTCTTCAAGCAAGGGGTGGTATATTAAAGATTTCACATCGATTAGAAATATTTGACCAAATCATAGTATATAAGTCGATGCAAGCATTACCTTATAAACCAGTTTTGTAAGGTTGAGTTAGGCCTAAATTCACTTTCTAATAGTTGATAAGCACGTGTACCAGATGTAGAAGTTCAAAAACAACATTGGGGGGCAACATATAAACTTCCGAATTTTACCTCTTTGGGTAGTAGAGGCCCTAAACTTTCATGTTGATCCTTAAACTGGGTATTAGATTTATTTATAGTTATGTAACTAAAGGTGAAATGATCTTGCCATTTATTACTTGATTTAGATTGACCTTCAACCCCTTATTATTCCTACTTTTAAACCAAATTTCTAATTTAATAATTTTCTAAAATAAAAAATTGATAAAAACAAAAATAGATGCTCTGTTTTTTTGTCTTCTTCCTTCTCATTCTTTGCAAAGCTCCAACATCACCAACTACCAGATTTTACATTGGAACATCGCCCAAATCAAAACTTCAAAAAATGTATGTTGTTTGATTTCAATAGCCCCTCTTTATCATGCTAATACGTGTTGGGATTCCTATACAAACAATCCCCTTATAAATCCACTAACCAACTGCAGTACCATGACCTACACCTTGATGATCTCGTGCATGGGTTTAAAAATTGACACAGGCTGTGCTTTAATATGCTCTGAACTGAGCTCAAATATGGACTCCCTTGGTTGTGAATTTCAGTTTTGGGTTTCCATTTCTTCGTTGCTTTGCTAGAGAGCCCAAGTGAAAAGCATGTAACAGGAATCCCAAGGGAGTATTGGGCATTATCCCGGTAAAGAAAAAAAAATTGAGCTCTAGAATTCTTTTTGTTTTTACAGACAGTTTCAAAAATAGGAAGCAACCAGAATTCAAAGTTATGCTAAGAATTAGGTGAAAAACTAGAAATGCAAAACTAGAAAAATGTAAGAACGTTGTATTTTCTTCATGCCTATACTCCTCACGGAGCTAGGTTAAATAGATACAAATGGTTCCACGAATTTGGGCAACTGGAACACCCTGAGGGACAGATAAACTAAGAGAATAAGGCCCAAAGGCCATTACACCAGCCGGATGTCTGTGACAGACAGTCTCGCAGCCATCTTGGTGGGTTGTAGATACACTTGGGCTGTTAGATGTTTGGGCCTGATTTTTGTTTAGGAAAATTAATGTGACAAGACAATGCGGGGATTTGTTTCTTACTTTTTTCATTAGTTTGTGAAACTTACAAAATATGGGAAAAATGATTAAAAATAAAAATGGTCAAGAATTAGCCTAAACCAATGATCAAAATCTTTTCAATATTATCCATTTAACTCCTAGTTAACAAAAAGACCTATTGGAACTGTTAGATATGATTAGATATTAGTTGATATTGTTTTATATTGTTGAGATATTGTTAGATATTGTTAATCACAATATCAAATAATATCTTTTTATTTACCCTATTTGTATTCTGTTACTCTTTTAAGGAGTACCTTTCTTTATTATAAATACACTGCCCTATGTGTGGTAAATACATAAGGGAAATTAACCCTATACAGTTTTTCCCTATATTCAACATGGTATCAAGAGCTTAAGGTCTCTTGGGATTTTTTTTTCGGCTCTGCCACTGAACCTGCAGCTGTCGCCGCCTCCATCGCCGCCGCCGTCGCCACCACCATCCGCCGCCGCCGCCGTCGCCGAGCACAGGGTTTTGCTCGCCTCCTCCGTGCGACCTCCACCGTGGAAGTTTCGCGGTCATCGGAGCAGCCACGCTCCCTCACGCGCCTCCCGAAGCCGCGCCACCTTCTCCCGTTCCGCCGCGCGTGGCGGCGCGTCTCGCCGCCGTTTAGGCCGCCGATCTTTGCGCCGGCGTCGCCTCCTTCTCCGCTCTCTGGATCTGTCCTCGCTGCTCCAATCGGACCTCTTTGGTGTTTTAGGGTTTTTCTCTCTCTTCCTCCATGGCATCTTCCGCTACCACTTCCAATTCTGAAGTTACCTCTGTCAGCTCCGGTGGGTCTGAGCAATCTGTTTTTACTAATTATGTCAATGTGAATTTACCCATTGATAAATTAGATGGTACGAATTATGCAACTTGGGCATCTGATATTAGACTTTGGCTTGAGAGTCAGGGGTATGTTGATCATCTTACTACCAAGGTAGATGATGTTCCTTCCAATGATCGTGTCTGTTGGAAGAAAGTTGATGCTCATATATGTATGGTTCTCAAGAATACCATCCAATCTTCTTTAAAACAAATTTTTCGATCGTATGGCACATGTTATGACGTTTGGGAACAAGCCAAATTATTATACACCAATGACACTCAACGTCTTTATGGTGTTTGTTACAATCTTCTTGATGTTATTGCTCCTCGAGATAAGGATCCTGTGGCGGATTATGTGGGTAAGATCCATGCTCTTCTCCATGAATTTAATGAGTTATTACCCCCTGCCTCGACTCCTGCCCAAGAATTAGAGCAACGATCAAAGTTTTTCATGGTTTTAATGTTACACGGACTTGCCGATAAATATGCCCCTGTTCGTGACCGGATTTTGGGTTCCCCTGTTACACCCGGTTTTACCGCTACCAGTTCCTCCCTTTTGCGGGTGCCATGTAAACCTCTCAATATTCCCCCTGTAGTTTCTAATGATTCATCTGCCTTGGCCTCTCACCGTGATGATCGTAATCGCTCTCACAAGCCGAGGCAAAGGGCGTGTCAAGTGTGACCATTGTGGCAAACTAGGCCACAAAATTGACAAATGTTATGCTTTACATGGTTATCCTCGCCGATCTGCTGCAGTTGCTCGGGCCGATTCTTCCGCACAATCCTCTGCTGTGGATCCTCCTTCGTCTGTACCTTCGGACAAATCTGCTATCTTCAATGATTTTCTTCAATGGTATGAGGATCGAAAGCCCTCCAGGTTCCACTACTTCGTTGCCCACACAGGTACATCTTTTGCTTGGTCCGACTCACTCTTCTTCTATTGGCCCTTGGGTTCTTGACTCGAGGCGCCACCAATCACATCACTGGTAACAAATCCTTATTTTCCTCTTTCACTTCTTCTCATAATTTACCCTCTGTTACAATGGCTAATAGGTCTACAACTTTAGCTCATGGTGTTGGAACGGTTACTCTTTTTCCCTCGTTGTCCATTGATAATGTTTTGTATGTACCCGGGTCCCCCTTTAACTTATTATCCATTAGCCAGTCTAACTCGATCTCTTGATTGTGTTATCTCTTTTACCAAAACTTCGTTTCCCTACGGGATCGGAGCTCGCAAAGAGTGATTGGCACCGGATGTGAGTCACATGGACTTTATTATCTTCAACCTTCTCCACATGTTGGCACGGTTATGGAGTCTCCTTCTCTCCTTCATGCTCGGCTTGGTCACCCCGGTCTGCGCAAATTACGGCAACTTGTTCCCGAGCTTATCCCGGTTGTCCAATTTGGTGTGTGAGTCCTGTCGGTTAGGCAAACATAGTCGTACTTCCTTTTCTCGTAGTGTTTCCCAGCGTGCTTCATCCCCCTTTGCCTTAGTTCACTCGACATTTGGGGACCCGGTCGTGTTAAGTCTAATTTAGGTTTTCAATATTTTGTTACTTTTATTGATGATTTCTCTCGTTGTACTTGGTTATTTTTAATGAAAAATCGTTCCGAGTTGTTTTCTATATTCCAAAACTTTTATCATGAAATTAAAAATCAATTTGGTGTCTCTATTCAAACTTTTCGAAGTGATAATGGCCGTGAATATCTTTCAAACTCGTTTAAACAATTTATGGCTTCTCATGGCATTCTTCATCAAACTTCACGTGCTTATACCCCTCGACAAAATGGGGTGGTCGAGCGCAAGAATAGACACCTTATTGAAACAACCCGTACTCTTTTAATTCATGGTGAGGTTCCTCGACATTTTTGGGGTGATCTTTGTTCTTCTTGCTGTTATCTTATTAATCGTATGCCCTCTTCGGTTTTAGATAACAAAATTCCTCATTCTATTTTATTTTCTCATGACACCCTCCATCCTTTACCTCTGAAGGTTTTTGGGTCTACCTGTTTTGTCCACAATTTTGATCCTGGTCATGATAAGTTATCTCCTCGATCACACAAATGTGTTTTCTTAGGATTTACTCGATCCCAAAAAGGATACAAGTGTTTTTCTCCTTCTCTTAATCGCTATTTTGTGTCTGCAGATGTCACCTTCAATGAGTTTTCCTTTTACTTTAAGGACCCTTCCCTACCTGCTGAGTCTCCATCTCGCTACGGTTCCCATTCCTGTTCTCATTGATCCTTATGTTGAGGACCATCCACCATTAGCCCCTTCTCCTCCACCACCCCTTCGGGTTTATAGTCGCGAGACCTCGCCCACAACAGACGCCACATGACTCACTCCCGGTGTCAAATACTCTGCCTCCTCCGGTTCCATCCACGAGTCCGACCTTCCTATTGCCCTTCGTAAAGGTACACGTTCTACTCGTAATCCTTCTCCACATTATATTGCTTTAAGTTATCATCGAATTTCTTCACCATTTTATACCTGTCTCTCGTCTATTTCTTACGTGTCTATTCCTAAATCCGTCTCGAAGCCTTAGCCCACCCTGGTTGGCGTCGAGGCCATGCTAGATGAACTCGGTGCTCTTCGGACTAGTGGAACACTGGACGCTTGTCCCATTACCATCTGGAAAATCTGTTGTTGGTTGCGGGTGGGTCTTCGCTATCAAGGTTGGTCCTGATGGTACTATTGATCGCCTCAAGCTCGCCTTGTAGCCAAAGGCTATACCCAAATTTTTGGGTTGGATTATGGTGATACTTTCTCTCCGAGTGGCAAAGATGGCTTCGTTCGTTTATTCATTGCCATGGCTGCTATTCAACAATGGCCTCTTTATCAACTTGGATGTCAAAAATGCTTTCTTGAATGGCGATTTGCAAGAAGAGATTTATATGGAGCAACCTCCGGATTTGTTGCTCGGGGGAGTCTTACTGGATTGGTATGTCGTCTTCGCAAATCTTTATATGGCCTAAAACAGGTCTCCTAGGGCCTAGTTTGGAAAATTTAGCAACGTTGTTCAACAATTTGGCATGACTAGAAGTGAGGCAAACCACTCGGTCTTTTACAGTCACTCGAATCGTTGGATGTATCTATTTGATAGTGTATGTCGATGACATTGTTCTTACGAGTAGTGACCATCATGGCATCTCTCGGATGAAACAACACCTTTGCCACCATTTTCAAACCAAAGATCTTGGCAAACTCGGATATTTCTTGGGTATTGAGGTAGCACAATCTACCGATGGCATTGTTATATCTCAAAGAAAGTATGCATTGGATATTTTGGAGGAAGCTGGGTTGATGAATTCAAAGCCTGTTGACACACCCATGGATCCTAATACCAAACTCTTGCCAAAACAGGGGGAGCCAATGTCGGATCCTGAACGGTATAGAAGATTAGTTGGAAAATTAAATTATCTTACGAGTTACTCGCCACGACATTTCCTTTGCGATCGGTGTGGTGAGTCAATTCCTCAATTCTCCTTGTCAAGATCATTGGAATGCGGTCATCCGTATATTGAAGTACATCAAAAAGTCTCCTGGAAAAGGTTTGGTGTATGACTCCCATAATCATACAAGAGTTGTCTGCTATTCGGATGTCGATTGGGCGGGATCTCCCTCGATAGAAGATCTACATCCGGGTATTGTGTTTCCATTGGTGGTAACTTGATCTCATGGAAAAGTAAGAAACAAAGTGTTGTGGCAAGATCTAGTGCGAAGCGAGTATAGAGCTATGGCCTCGGCTCCACTGTGAACTTATTTGGCTCAAGCAATTACTTAAAGAGCTACAATTTGGAGATGTCACTCAAATGACACTAGTGTGTGACAATCAGTCGCTCTCCATATAAGCTCTAATCCTGTCTTTCATGAGAGGACTAAACACATTGAGATTGACTTGCCATTTTATTCGGGAAAAGATTATGTCCGGAGACATCAAGGCCGAGTTCGTTAACTCATGTGATCAATTAGCGAGATATTTTCACTAAGTCTTTACGGGGACCTAGGATGGATTATCTTTGTACCAAGCTAGGCACATACGATTTGTATGCTCCGAGCTTGAGGGGGAGTGTTAGATATGATTAGATATTAGTTGATATTGTTTTATATTGTTGAGATATTGTTAGATATTGTTAATCACAATATCAAATAATATCTTTTTATTTACCCTATTTGTATTTTGTTACTCTTTTAAGGAGTACCTTTCTTTATTATAAATACACTGCCCTATGTGTGGTAAATACATAAGGGAAATTAACCCTATACAGTTTTTCCCTATATTCAACAGGAACAAAACAAGAGTTTAAGGATCAATTAAAAGTAAACACTTAAAAGTTAAAGGCGTCTACTTGCTAAAGGATAAAATTTAAGGGGTCTATATACCCTTTTCCCTTTTTTTCTTTCAACTGTTTTAAATGAAACCCCAATAAAAATTGACGAGCAAAAAACCAACCATGAAGAAATTATTAAAATTACAACATCTCATTGTTATTAAGAAATTAGAATAGACATAAAGCCAAACTCACCATGTAGTTGAGGAAGTTTAGATAGTATAGCAGCCATAATACTCCACCTATCTGTAACTGTCGACAAGTATATGCATTGCAAAGCACAATCAACAGCTTCAACCTCACTTTTAAAATAGTCATTACTTTGGAAGTTTCTGCACCCTTCTTCAATTACCACCAAGCATATGTCCAATTTATTCTCCCCAGAAGTTTCCTTCAACCATCTGACTAAAAATGATTCATCTATATTTTGATTTGTATTATCAGAAAGAGTGACATCTCCGGTTAGAGATGCCTTGCGAAACTTTTCACACATAAAAGGAATGGCTCTATTGTGTAACCTTTCAGTCACATTTTCCTTTTTCACTCCCTTAAGCATAAATTTAAATTTTTCATAGTCTGACAATTCTCCCCACATGGCAAGATTCATGTTGAAGCTCATTTCACTATCATCATCATTGGTATAAATAATTTGACTCAAGTATAAGACATCCTGATGGAACTGCTGTAACTCAGATAGGCCTTTGCGCAGAGCAAACTCAAGCAGGCTGAGGCAATTATCCAGCTGCCCACTAAAATAATCCATCGCTCTAGCCCTATTTGTATACCAGGAAGAGAGTTCATCAATTGTTGGCCAACGAAATCCAAGGAGATGCTTAACCAGAGGTTCAGTTTTGACTTTTATTAGAATGTCACGGTTTTTAACTGATGCATTGATGAAATGGACCATCTTCTCACATTCAACCCAATCATCTTGCCTTACAGCAAAACCAGATGGAGGAGACCTCCCCGGAAGAAGCTGCCCATACATTGGTACAGGAACTGTTTCTGGAATGGCAGCTAAAATTTCCAACATAAATGGAGACAAAGAATATGGATGACGCTTGAAGAGCAAGTTTAGCGCTCCAATTTTTCCACTCTCAGCAAGTGAAATGGCAGCTTCATTAATAGGCATAATGCGGAATTTACCATATTCCTGCACAGAAAACCTGCAGAAAACTGTGTCAATGAACTTTGAGTCAGTGGAAACCATCAGAATTATTGATCAATCACAAATGATAAAATATCCTATCAGTCATTTGTTCTAAATCAATAATGTCATATCTTGGAATTATGTATATATGCATGCGTCTTAAGTTTGCTGATGTGCTAGGTACAAGGGGATGGGTATTTGCAACATGTCAACAAAAGAAAGTAAATAGACCAAAGCCATTTCAAGTTTTAACGCAATCAAAACCTGAAAGTTCATCGTAAAGAACTTAACATTAAGACTGACGTTTCATCTTGTATGTGTGTGTGTGTGGGAGTAGTGAATAATCTAATTAACATTTATTCAATATTCCTCCCCCTTAAATTGTCAATATGGAAGGATAACTTGGGAACTAAAAACTTGTAAGACTACTTTTCTTGCTGATGATGATGAACCGATTTAATAAAATCTGAAGTACATATTACAATGAACAAATCATTGCTAGAGTACTGCATAGAAATACCAAGGCTTAGAAACAACTTAGACCTAAATCCAAGATTGATCAAATCCGATTTTAAGTTCAATATAGGCTATTTTTCCTGATCTTTGTTACGTGCGCGGACATTGTTGTTCTAGTTTTAATCTGTTCCCCATCTATTACACTGCTCTACTTTTGTTTCTCACTGGAACTCTTTGCTTGGAATTTTTTACATTTGCTCAATGCTTCATGGGCTGTGTATCAACTTGCACCAATGTTTTATTATCATGCTTAAAGTCTAGAGGCAATATGCAACCCATGCTACAATTCAATAAGTGTGGTTGGATAATAACTGGTGCATCTCTAAGAAAGTCTCTATGGGACAAGATGTGAGATAGATTCGAGACTGTTAGATATTGTTTGATATTATTAAGATATTATTAATCACAATATCAAACAATATCTTCTATTTACTCTAATTATTTTTTAGTTACTCTTTTTAGTTGTACCTCTCTCTATTATAAATAGATTATCCTATGTGTGGTTCATATACAAGGAAGATTAATCTAAAATCCTATTTTATCTATATTCAACATGACATCTAGAGCTTAAGGTTATTTTGAAAATTTTCGCCTTTGTCCACTACCACCACCGTAGCTGCAGGAGTTGTCGCCGCTGCCAAAATCGTCGCTGAAGCCGTCGTCAGAGTTTCATTTTTTACCAGCGACATACGGTTTTGTTCGTCTTGGTCAAGCGACCACCGTACAGTTGAGATCACCACTGTCGGAGTTGGTCGTCCGTTGTCTCCAGCGCCATTTAGTCTCGACGGACGTGTTTTGGTCTTCTCGTTTTGGATCTGTATTTCGTGGGTTGATTGAACTATTTTGGATTTTTTTTTTAGGATTTGTTTTACCTCCCTTCATAACTTCTTCCGCTATTTCTTCTGGTTTATCCGACACACCTGCTATGTTTAACAAATTTCTCAAATGGTATAAGGATCAACAATCTTCTAGTTCCATTGCGTCTGACGCACACACAGGTACATCTTTTGTTGGTCTGACCCAATCTTCTTCTCCTGGTCTTTGGGTTTTTGATTCAGGAGTCATTGATCATATTAATGGTAACAAATCTTTAACCATTGATAATGTTCTTTATGTCCCTGAGTTTCCTTTTAACCTGTTGTCCATTAATCGTCTAACTCGTTATCTTGATGCTGTTGTTTCTTTTACCAACAATTTTGTGTGTTTACATGACCGGAGTTCGAAACAGGTGATTAACACAAGATGTGAGTCTCATAGTCTTTATCATTTCTGTTCCTCTACACATGTTGGTGCAATTATGGAGTCTCCCTCTCTTCTTCATGCTCAGTTAGGTCATCCAAGGCTTGCCAAATTACAGTAGCTTGTCTCAGTGTTGTCCAAGTTGTCTAGTTTGGTGTGTGAGTCGTGTCAATTAGGCAAGCATAGTCGTACTTCCTTTCCTCGTAGTGTCACACGTGGCGCTTCGTCCCCTTTTGTCGTGGTTCACTCTGACATTTGGGGACCTAGCCGCGTTAAGTCTACTTTAGGTTTTCAATACTTTGATACTTTCATTGATGATTATTCTAGATGTATATGGTTATTTTTTATGAAAAATTGTTCTGAATTATTTCATATCTTTCAATCTTTTTTTGATGAAATTCAAATTCAATTCGGTGTTTCTATTAGAGTTTTGCGCAGTGATAATGACCGTGAATAACTTTTTCATTCTTTTAAACAATTTATGACTTCTCACGGTATTTTGCATCAAACTTCTTGTGCTTATACACCTCAACAAAATGATGTAGCTGAACATAAAAATATACATCTTATTGAAACAACTCGCACTCTTTTAATTCATGGAGAGGTTCCTCAACATTTTTTGGTTGATGCTCTTCTTATTGCATGTTATCTCGTTAATCACATGCCTTCTTCGGTTTTAGATAATATAATACCTCATTCCATTTTATTCCCTTATGAACTTCTTCATCCCTTACCTCTAAGAGTTTTTGGTTCTACATGTTTTGTTCATAATTTCAGTCCTGGTCTTGACAAGCTTTCTCCTAGATCATATAAGTGTTTTCTTAGGGTTTACAAGATCACAAAAAGGATACAAATGTTTTTCTCCTTCTCTTAACCATTATTTTGTGTCTGTAGATGTCACCTTTGATGAGTTCTCCCTTTATTTTAAAAGTCAATCTTAACCTCTATCTCCATCCAATCCTGTTAACACTCCTAGTACATTTAATGTTCCTGTTGTTTGTGACCCTCTAACTATGTCTTCTTCACCATTAGTTTCTACTCCCCAGTCAGCTTCTTCTTCACCGCCCCTTTAGGTTTATAGTCGCTGAAACCGATCACAACCACCACCATGTGACTCCACTCAAGTGTCAACTATTCTGTTTCCTCCGACTCTAACACCTGAGTCTGACCTTCCCATTACCCTCCGAAAAGGTATTCGTTTTACATGTAATCTCTCTCCCCATTATATTACTTTGAGTTATCATTGACTGTCATTATCATTTTATACATGTTTTTCCTCTATTTCTTCTGTGACCATTCCAAAATTTGTTCGTGAAGCTTTAGCCTATCCTGGTTGGTGTCAGGCCATGACAGATGAACTAAGTGTTCTTCATAATAGTGGAACTTGGGAATTGGTCCCGTTACCGTCTGGAAAATCTGTTGTTGGTTGCAGGTTGGTGTTTGCTATCAAAGTTGGACTTGATGGTACTATTGATCGCCTCAAAGCTCGTCTTGTAGCCAAAGGTTATACTCAAATTTTTGGGTTAGATTATGGAGATACATTTACTCTCAAGGCAAAGATGACTTCTATTTGTTTATTTATCGTCATGAATGCTCTTCAACAATGGTCTTTTTATCAACTGGATGTTAAGAATGTTTTCCTCAATGGTGATTTGCAAGAAGAAATCTATATGGAGCAACCTCATGGGCATGTTGCTTAGAGGGAGTCTTTTGGGATGGTATGTCGTATTCGCAAATTCCTATATGGCCTAAAACAGTCTCCTAGGGCCTGATTTGGAAAGTTTAGCAACGTTGTTCAACAATTTGGTATGACTCGGTGTGAAGCAGATCATTCTGTATTTTATCGACACTCGAGTGTTGGATGTGTTTACTTCATAGTATATGTTGATGACATTGTTCTTACAGGTAGTGATAACTATGACATCTCTCAGTTGAAACAAGATCTCTGTCACCATTTTCAGACCAAAGATCTTAGCAAACTCAGATATTTCTTGAGTATTGAGGTGACACAGTCCAATGATGATATTGTTATATCTCAGAGGAAGTATGCCATGTATACTTTGGAGGAAACTGGGTTGATAAGTTCAAAGTTTGTTGATACCCTATGGATCCCAATATTAAACTTCTATCAAATTAGGGGGAGCCTATATCTAATCTTAAACAGTATAGAAGATTGGTTGGGAAATTGAATTACAGTTACTCGTCCTAACATTTCCTTTACAGTCAGTGTAGTAAGCCAATTTTTTAATTTCCTATGTGAAGTTCATTGGAATGCAGTCATTCGTATCTTAAAGTATATTAAAGGATCTCCTAGAAAATGATTGTTATATAATTCTAATAATCATACAAGAGTTGTTTGCTACTCAGATTCTGTTTGAACAGGATCTCCTTCTAATAAAAGATCCACATCTGGGTATTGTGTCTCCATTGGTGATAACTTAATATTGTAGAAAAATAAGAAACAAAGTGTTGTGGCAAGATTCAGTGCAGAATTTGGCTCAAGCAATTTCTTAGAGAGTTACAATTTAGAGATGTCACTCAAATGACACTTATGTGTGACAATCAGGTTGTTCTTCATATTAGCTCTAATCCCGTCTTTTATGAGAGGACCAAACACATTGAGATTGACTGTCATTTCATTCAGGAAAAGATTATGACTGGAGACATCAAGAATGAGTTTGTTAACTCAAGTGATCAGTTAACAAATATTTTTACGAAGTCTTTATGGGGGCCTAGAATTGATTATATTTGTAACAAGCTTGACACATACGATTTGTATGCTCCAGCTTGAGGGAGAGTGTTAGATATTGTTTAGATATTGTTTGATATTGTTAATCACAATATCTTTTATTTACTCTAATTATTTTTTAGTTACTCTTTTAGTTGTACCTCTCTCTATTATAAATAGATTACCCTATGTATGGTTTATACACAAGGGAGATTAATCTCAAATCCTATTTTCTCTATATTCAACATACACTTCCATTTGGTATATAAAATGTGCAGAATTTTTCAAAATGTCTCCGCTACATATGTGCCGAGGAATTCGACAACTACACCTGACTCATGGTACTTTATCTTGTGTTTTGATTTTGTTGAAGAGGATTCTCATTTCCCTATCCTCCAACTCATGCTAATTTGTTCTCTTCTTACTGATATTTCTATTTTAATAAATGAAATAGAAAAAGAAAACCATATAGAAAAACTTCTAAATATAACAAAAGCATAAAAAATATGATTTATTGTAATAAAATAGTAACCTACCTGCCCATGTTTATTCCAAGATATGTTTCCAGCCTGTCCCTAAATTGTAAAATTTGAAGTCTGGCTAGGCGAATATTCCATACTTTACTAGAATTATCATCATCTGCTACTGAGAATCTATGATGGTCAGTAATGCGTAGACCATAAGCTAGCAAAGCCTTCATGGCGTCTTCTGTCAGTCCAATTCTATCAACACATTCAGAAAGTACAAAAACTTTATCCTTAATATTTGATAGAAAGCTTTTTATTTCATTTACTCCATGGCTAGAATTCAACCACTGTGACTTCAGAACTTTGTCTTTATCTAATCCATGTTTATCAGCAAAATCCAGAGCAGCCTGATATTTTCTCTTGCTAATCAGTATAGCATACATTTCAGGGACAGACTTCTTAGTAAATGAAACAAGTTGCCAGAGCAATCTAGAAAGGTGCAATTGATTTAGCCTGTCTTCAATTATCCACTCTGTCTGATGCAACTCTTCTGTTGATACAAAATGCGAAGGATCATCTCTTTCTTTCAATGATTGACTCGCTAAAACAAAAACATGGCCCTCAAATTTCAGTGCTCTTTCCAGAACAGGTAAAAAATATGTACGATCCTCTTCTTGAGCTTTAGAACCATTAAGGATGTCAATCAACATAACCACACCACTCCTATTTACAATGGCAAGGATATGGTCACACCACCAAGTAAAATCCATAAAACCCACACAAGATTTGTTCACTCCATTCAATAAATTATCAGACATTGGTGAATCATCTCTCTCTCCCAAGACAAACCGGGAGAGTGTGAAGCCTTGTTTATCCAGCTTAAAAATATGCAAGCACCCGGTCAAATCCAGAGTAGCAATGAATGAAGCCTGTGGTGAAATTAGCACCTTTGCATATGTCAGTAGACCTCTGTAATCTTTTGGCTTTAAATATAACCCCTCAAATTGCAAAGAGAACAACTGCTCCAGTTCAGTACTTGAATTCTTCCGAAACAGAGAAAGATGGCTAGATCCTAAAGATATATATGTAACTAATCAGTGAAGAACTTCGACAAATAATGTTTGTCAGATATTAATGACTTGTGGAAACTTTACAGTCTATTCTCCATGTTCCAAGAATAACTTAATTGATAAATGGGGAACTATTGTTTGAGAATATCACTCCATGGAAGAAGTACAGACGTAAATAATAAAATATATTCTGAAATTCGAATCAAACACATAATACAAGTTCAGTACAAAATTACTCCATGTCTATGATCCAAATAAAAAGTATGGTTTTCCATGTATATTCTAGGGCATGAAATCAGCTAAATTATCTCTTCTCAAAACTAAACAATAGTAACAAAATCCTATTAGGTGGGTCAGCTACATGGATCAAACAATGCCAGAATGTTCTACTGTAAATCATGTCTATAGAGACCATTGACCTTTAAATATGGATCAGGTGAAAGGTTAGCCCATGACAATAACAGAACCAAATATCCAAAAGCCATCCACATTGCCAGCATAATTGTATACCATGTAGAAAGGGGAGTTTCTTCCAATGTCAGACCAGCGGTCAGAAGTAAAAGAGAGGCTACATTGATTTGTCTATTCTATGATAATCCACAGCTTAAATTCAGAACCGACACTTACATAACATAGAAAATAATTGAGAAAATAACCAAAAACATACATACCAGAGTACTTGTGAACAGCCACCAAAAGGCTAAGTTCACTATGGCGGTCAAAGCAGAAAATAGAGTTGCAAATACGGCTCGTGCGATTAGAGATATAATTGGGAAAGATGGAGCCACTCTGACCATGACTGATCTCAATTTGCTGAAGTGAGCCATCCGAGGTAACAACGGTGAACCTACACCTCAAACAGTGCAAAATTTCAATTTGACATTCCATCTCCCACGTTAAGTAGTTCTCAACAACCAACATTTTCTGAAATAATTAAATAACGGCCATATGGATATCAGAAAAAGAAAGTTACAAGTAAGACTCGCGTGTATCCAAATTGATATCAGAAAACAGGGAAACAATTGGAGAAGAGACTTTCAGATGTTTCTTCGAGATTTCTGCAACAACTTCGCCACTGAATTTGATAAAATAGAGTGTATCAGAGTTGTCAGCAACTCCAAGAACTTCCTCATCTTCAGACCAAGATCCTAAACTAAACGTACCAAGGCTAGAACCTAACGAACCAATTGCTTATCAGAATCAAATTGCGTTTCACCATTCAACAACAAACAAAATTTCAGAGAGAAATTAAAAATATAAATAAATAAATCTCACTGGTGAAACTGGCGCATGGATTTTGATAGTCATCCTCTTTACTAAGAATCGTTATCCGATTTCCCGCGGCAACTGCAACGTGCTTGGCTGTGGAGGAAACGAACAGCGACACCAATCTTTTGAGTCTCTTCGGTTGATTATATTCGGTCCATTTGTCCTTGAGTTGGCTGACACCTTTAGGGACGAGCATTAGTTGGATCCAAACAAACATGCGTTGATCAGAATTGAACGAAGTCAAACAGAAAAGCGAGAGTTACCTCGAGAAGAAAGCAAGGAGAACAAGGTAGCAGTGGCGCTCTCGGCTGCCTGAAATGGAACAACAGTGAACGAAAGCGAGGGGATAAGAACGCGAATCGGAAAAGAAGAAAGAAGAGAGAGGAGTGTGTGACCTGTTGTTGCAGATGGTGTTGGTGTTGAGGAGGGTAATTGGAAGCGTGATGTCGCGTTTCGTAAAGCGGCACCTCCATATGGGAACTGTTACTGTATCTTCCCCAAAACCCCACACCTTAAAAACTGCACCGCATTCGAGTAACACGCCAGAGATACATGACTTCCATCTTCCGTTTGCTTCATTCCCATTTCTCGATCATCGTCAATTTTTTTGTTTGTAACATGCAAATTGGGCCCTCGCTGTGCAGATCCGATCTAACATTTGGCCCAATATTAAACAAAAGGCCCACTTTTGTCTAAAATTTTGTTCCTTCCAACACCAAAATATTAAGACCTGGGTGAGTCTATTTTTAGGTCTTTGAAGTTTCAGTTACGTTGATAAACTACGCATAGTATGAATGAGTAAATATAATATTGCTTAAAAAACACATTATTTGAACTACAATAATCTAAAAAATGTTTTGATTATATTGATTTTTTTGAGCAATAAATTATTAATTTTGTTATGATATTTTATCCATTTCAAAACAAAATTTTTAATGTTCTGGTACACAAATTAAAAAAATAACAAAAATTTATAAAAATATTCTTAATTACGACCAAGCTAATATTAAACAATTTCGCCTACAAGATTTGTTAAATAAATAAATAGACCAACAAAGATAACTTATAGTAAGAGCCCATAACAAACACGAATATAATCTTTATTTAAAGTGAAAGAGATTAGATACCACTATACGTGTACATTATTTTAATATTTAAATTAGTTCCCAACATTTTATAAAAAAAGTTTCTTCTTTTTTACATAATAAAATAATAAGGTTACAGTTTCGAAATTAATAACAGTTATATTAACTTCTACAATTAAAATAGTTTCATAAAAAAATCATTGATCATTTATATATTTATTAAACATGGTGTGTAAAAAAATTAATAGTAATAAGGTGAATAACCATTAACCAAACCCAACACCAACCAAAAGAACCTCTTGTGTTGTGTTGTGTTGCGCATAACACATAACTAGGACCACTATAAGATGCTTGATTAGGACAAAACAAATTTTGGATAATGAATTAATTTTGTCTTCGTTAATCATAGGAATCTATTTTAACTTGTGTTGAGTTAAATTCCACCATCAAATTAAGACAAATGTTACGACTACTTATTTATTTTATTTTTTTAAACTGTGTGTATATCCATCAATCACTTACTCTGAGTATAGTAAATAATATGAATTATTAAAAACATAAATAAATAAACTTCACATTAGGCATTTTTTTTGTTCTAACTTCATAATATATTTAAATTATCAAAAATAATTTTTAAATGGCGTCCATTAATCAAAACACTTTTTTTAATTTAAAAAACATAACTTTAATCTATTCTTATCCTGGTATCTAATAAAATTAAATTAAATACTACTAATAAATCAATCTCTTACTATATTTTTATTTTTCGTGATAAGATTCACAATATTATTATTCGATAAGTTTGTTAATTATATATTTTTTTATATTATTAATTCTTACTAAAAAATATAAACTAAAATAATTATTTATAAATGAGAATCCTTAAAACTATCATTACTTGATGATTGAAACTTCTATTCAATGACAGTGTAATTTTAGAGTATCTTTTTTTAATCTTCCATTTTCAAGTCATAACTTCAATTAACATTAAAAAAACATTAACAATTAACAATAATATTACATCACAATGGAAATTATATTTACCATATATTCATATGACTCAACATATTTCTTAATTGTAGTATGATTGACATTTAAAACATAATATTTTATTATACCCCACACAAACTAAAATAGTAGCATCCGTATACATCATATATAAAAAGTTGAAGAAAGTTGCAGTGGTTAAACATAGTAAATAATTTAGTCCCACCACCTCAATATTTCAAAATATAAAATTCAGCACTTCAATTATTTCATGTGGCCTGCATAATAAACACTTTATTGAAATAAAAGAACGGGAAAGACTGTGAAGAGATTCTATGATTCTTATTACTTAATTAAGCAATTTCACGTGCTAAATTAAATTTTAAATGTGATAATTTATACACGTAATTTTTTTTATCAAACAATGAGAACCTTTACGGTTGCTTAATGGCGAGTTTTTTATTATACTTAAAATTCACTTATTTTGAGAATTAAAAATATATAATAATGAAAAAAATAAAGTATAATTTATATTATATATATATATATATATATATATATATATATATATGAAGATATATATATATATTTTTTTTAAATTAAAAATATCTTTAAGATCATTCATTATGCTCACTCTTCTTTTTAGTTTTATCGTACAACCTAATAGTGTAGAGAGGGAATTTAGCAAAAATTGAAAAATTCTTTCTTCAAATAGTAATTTTTGTGGTTGATTTCTCAAGGGTATCCTCTTCGGTGACATTCAATGGATGTGATTTAAACCCATTAGGATTATTTATTTTATTAAAAATACTATAAGGTAATGTTTAAAATTTATAGATGGATGAAATGCATCTAACCAACTTTATCATGTTAATTTTTAATGAAAAAGAATCTATACTGGTTTTCTAATCAAGTGAAATTTAATCCTTTAACTACTTAACTTTCCATGGTTTGTGGGACACATTAAACTTTCACACACATAATATATATATATATATATATATATATATATATATATATATATATATATATATTGTGTTTTATTTGTTTGTTTCATGTAATAAAAAAAATATTGTTGAGTAATGAGATAGCATAGTAATGAGACATTTTGATATACATAGTAAGAATTATTTATTTAATGAAAAATTATATTAAAGTTAATGCAAATGAGATTAATAATAACACATTATAATGTAAGTAAGATTCAGAACTAATATGTTACAAGATGTATTATCTATCATGTATTTATGAGATTTCGTTTTTCATAACTGGTGTTATGATTAATTAAGATTTTCTTATTCATAACTGTTTTTGTTTTTGTGTTATTGGAGAGAGAAAAAATATTATGTATAATATATAATTAATTGAAAAATAATACTTCTAAAGGGTGGAGAGATAAATAAATAAAAAATTATAACTTTTATTTTATTTTATTAAAGAGAAAAAGAATATAATATATAATAAATAAATAAAAAAACGTAAGATATATATCAGAGATGAAAAACAACATAAATAACAAAATCATTTAAAAAAATTTATAAACAATGTGAATCTTTGTTTTCAGTGGTTATATATTTATTAGTGGGATTCTACTTTGTGTTAACCATTTTTTAATCATAAGAGAGAAAACTATAATTTATATTATATTATATCCTTCTTTTTAACCCTATTTCATTTTAAGTATCCTTTCATCTTTAAAATTAAAAATAATATAATAATATAAAAATGTGGACACAGGCGCTTTAAAGCTCGTGTTTCTGATAGTAATATAGTTAGATTTTTTTTAACCATTCTTTTAATATCATAGAGAAAAATAAAAGTATTATACTTTAAAGAAAAAATAGTTATATGATTTATATATTTAAAAAATAATAAAAATCTGACCAAAAAAAGTAAATATATTTTAAAAAAAAGTTAATCATAAAAAAAAATATAGACACACAAGTATTTGGGCGCGTGTATTTCTACCAACTACGTGTTTTCACTAGTAAATATATAAAAATTATTCTTTTTGTAATTTAAATTTAGTATCAAATCAAAAAAATCGTATCTATATTATATTTTCTTTAATCCACTTCTTTACAATCATAAGTTTCCCTCAATCTTTTTTCTCCTAAAATATAAAATAATAATAAAATGTCATTTTATTCTTACTCTCCCTCAATTATACTTCCTTGTCAATTATTTTCAATGACATGTTAACTGTTTTGTTTTAGTCCTTATATCACAAATCATGATTAGATATTAAAAATGAAAGTATCAATTAATATGATTAAGAAAATAATATATCTCAAATTAATTAGATATCTTCTATATATTTATTATTTAATATAACAAAGATAATTATATATTATTTATATTTTTATTCAATAATTTAATTTAACATTGTAATTTTGTCAAAAATAATTAGATATTTCAGATACTTTTAATTTATTTGTTATTTATTAATTTTGATAATATAATTTTCAATGATTGTAAAATCATTTATTTTCTGATTCCATAAGTAAATCTTTTATCTCCGAAGACAAAAAAAATGTTTATATTTTTAGAATTTCTAATTGTAATATATTAAAATCATAAGTAATATAGAAAAATAATAATTATTCTTTTTTTTATCTCTACACAATTTAGAACTAATATAAAATTTAATATGTTTAGTTTCGTTCCGTATAATAAAATTATAATTGTTATTTTTTTAGAGAAACTAAAACTGTTGTTGATAGAAGAATGTTATATAAGCATAAATAAAGTTAATAGTTAATAATATACTTAATCTTCATGATTACTAATTATTATATTTCTCCCACAAGTGAATGTGGGCATTTGATAAAATGAAATGAATTTGTCAAGGTTCAATGAAGAATACATTTTAGAAATTAAAGTATAATTTATAACTAATCATAAAATTAATAAATATTATATATTGATAATTTTTAACTTAACATGCATATATTTTAATTGATAATTTTTAACCAATGATTGCAATTTCATTTTAACTTTTTAAAGTTTACCGCTACACATTAGTTGAATTCCAATTGAAATAATGAAAAAAAGGTGAATCGTTATAAGATTATTTTAATTTAATAAAAATTTTGAATTAAAAATTTGAATATGTTAAAATAAAATATTTTTAAAAAGTTTTATCCCTTATAATAATAATAATTTTATCCCACCAAAATGAGATTCGATCACAAGAAAGAGACACATCCTAAATAAAATAAATAAATTGCAATGGCCAAATACATTGTTAAATTTCACTTTACGTATATGAATCAAAATCCTTGCTTGCAACTGCTATGCTTTAATTGGTTCCAATCCAAAGCAACATAAGGCTTGGAACTTTGTGGAAGTCAACTCTAAATTGTTAAGATTCTAAAATTCCTTCTGTTTTTGTTTTTTGAAGATAAATTCCTCCTCTTTTTACTTATAGGTTGTAGAATAAATCACTACAAAATGGATTGAAAATAATCAATATATATCATCATCTACTTCCTCCAAAGAGTATGCAAATAAATAATTGCCTTTGCCAACATGGGTTGGTCAAGGTGTTGGAGGTGCCCTCAAATGAGTATTCTTCTCTTTCTTTCAGTTTGAGTCTTCCCAGCCACACTAAAGTCTTGCATTGTCAAGCACCCTTCACATAAAGATCCCTGTTCGGTGAGGGGTACCTTGCCTATGGGGAAAACAAAACCTAAAAAAATATAGTATTTAATTTAACTCAAACTTATGAAACAAATGGACTCGATGGCTGGCTCACTTTTAGTAGTAAAAAAAAATGCTATTTAAAGTTATTGGAATAAGGGAATCGCCACTAGATTAGCAATTTCGCACCTTGACATGACTTCCATAATAGTTTCACGTGCTACAACCTAAAGAATTAGTCCTCCATTATGCAGAACATTAATGGGGCTGATATAGTGGACCTACAGTGAATCTTGATCATGATAAGTGTTCTAGATGCTTATATGTTTTTTCACTTCTCCAAAATATGCGACACTGACACATATACACAGTACCACTACAAAGTTCTAGTTAGTCCTATTTATAGGAGGTAGAGCTTATTTTCCTCAACATATTCTATCTTTGTCTTCGTTGAGTTGCCATATTATTCATGGCTTCTGCAAAAGTAGACACGGCGTGATATTGGTTCGGCTCATCTTAATTCAAGCATTATATCATCTAGAGACGAGCCGAATCAATATCACTCTTGTTTGCTACATTGCATATATTTCAGTTTTTCTTCTGAAACCACACACTCTTTCTGCCTTTTTCACTATGAATGAAATTGTTCCATGAATCCCTTGACATGTGGGAGTCTCACATGCAGTTTATTTTATAGGAAGAAGGCTTACAGTTTCTGCTTAGCAATGATTATGTGAAGACTCGGAAAATGGATTCTGCAGAAGTGAACTGGGGTGGTATTGCTTCTGCTCATCTTTGTTCATGAATTAATCACATAGCATCGCTTTAATTAAGACGAGCCGAATCAATATCACCCCAGTGCACTTCACTGCATATGTAGCTGTTTTTCTTAAATCTAATGGAGGCAACTGTGGAACTTCATTACTCTTATTGATGAAACATACAACATAAGCTCAACAGTATGCAGTTCTCGTTTCTTTTTTTGATACAAACCACAAATATTTTGTATTGGTATGTGAGCACCAATGTTTTTCTTCCCGTTTTGAACTAATTTATGTATTCAGTATTCGCAGGACCAGAACTCGAAAATAAACTGAAACAACTCTAGGTCAATTGCTCTACGTACTATAATCTCGTAATTAAGGTTCATTTAATCACTTTTGATTCGTTTGGATAGCCTTATTCCAGCTAGAAAGCTTCACCAGAATTGTATTTGGAGAAAGATGGACAAGCAGTGATGGACTTTTTTTTACCCCAGAATTTTTTAACCAAATTATCCTTTGTTCTATGCTTTTAATCCCTTGTAATAACGTTTATTTGCATTCTAAGAATGAGGGTGTTCAAAATTCTCAAACTTTCGTTTTACCTGTTTATAATACTGATTGCAGGAATACGCTACGAGAGACAAGCAAGAACGCAAGGGATATAATGTCTTCTGTTACGGGACATATTGGACAAAGTCAGAATCTTTCATCCGAGTATATACCACTTGTTCTTTCATACTGAGAATAGCGAGGTTGAATTTTCTTGTTGCATATTCCCCAAACTTCTAGATCTATGATTATTTCGTTGATGGATGGTGATATTTACCCGTGAATCTGAATCAACTATGCAGTATGATCTATAATAGCCAATGTATAGCCACCGAGTGCTGATGCACTTTGAAATATCAACTCAAAGTAACCATGGGTTACTCTTGAGACTATTATTGAACGTTTATAATTGTTTTTCATTCCTAGTTTTTGTCTGCAATCATCTTTACTTCCTCTTAATTTAGAGTTTTAATGTTTTCAAATTGTAAATAAATCTCTATACAATTATAGGACTAGTTTCAATTAACACTATTAAATCAATTTTAGATTAATTTTGTGAAAAAATAATAAAAGATTTAATATGCAAAGCCATGAAATTCAAGTATTTTTTGGAAATTATTAAGAGATGAGAAAGTTAAATAATATATACATTTAAAAAATTAATAAAAGTTTTGAAATAATGTATACATTTATAAATTTTTTTCTTCATTTAATATTTATAAATATTAGGGTTAAGAGTGAGTTGGATCCTTTATTAAATAAAAATGGTAAAATTGAGTAATGGAAAAACCTAAATACCTAGAAGTAAATCATGAATAATTTCTCAAATCTTGAATTAATATATGGAAAGGCAGTAAAAAACTTTAGTTCAATCAATCATATAGCTTCAAAAAATAGCTGATTTTCTTTTATTGCAATTTGAAAAATTTCCACAATTTCACATGGACTTTGGACGAGTTTATATCAGTTTTAAGATTTCAAAAGAAGTGTGTGTGATAATTGTAAATGTGGCTGCATAACGTTAAGATTTTTTAGATCTCTACAACTATTACACGACAATAATTGCAGCTGTGTCAACTGTATTTGTTCATAATTTATAATAAGATGGTAACAAAAACTGCCGTCAAAGCTGCAATTTTAAACAAATCCTTGCTTTAATTTAACCTAGTACTATTGTTTGAAGAGTCATATGACTCTTGCTGTTATCTCTTCCACACATGTAGTCTTCACTTTTCTCTACCAAATCCTTTTTACTATACCATGATTCAAGGCATCCATTTCTTTAGAAGCTTTCAAATTAATATTATAAAATGATGTCTAGTTGATGTGTGATTTAATAATTGTAAGTTCCATGGACAGAGTATAACCTCAAATATATTTATGAAGAGGACTAGATTTGATCTTGAGACTACCTAGGTTAAAATTTTCAGTAGTCCACATGTATGTATTCAAACCCCCCAATTTTTTATTAAACTTTTTTTTATGCCAAATTAGATCTTTGTACTCTGTCCTTGTCAAATAAATTTTCTTAAGTCAGCATAATAATTGTCACTAAAGACTATGTCTGCTATCATAATTGTCATTAAAAAACACGAAAGCTTTCTATCTTCATAAAGCCAATGCATCTTCTTTTTTGCCACATACATGTTTTCACAGGAATCATAGGATAAAATAACTTGAGTGAAGTTCATAGTATTCTCCTATGTTGTCCCATACCCAATTAGTCCACCAAATTGATCATTCTTTAATCTTTATTATTCATCAATTTGAGTAAAATTGGATGGCAAGGAATTAATGTACATATGTCTCTTGGCAAGTTTTTTCTACATGGCCACATTATTGCACAAAAGGACTATTATTTTTTCACGAAAAGTAATATTATTATTAATTTTTATTTTTATGGGTCTCTTTGTTTATTTTTATTTTGAGGAAAAAAATGTTGTTTTAATGAATTATTAATCTCTTATGATAATCATGTTTGGATAAACTTATCTAGCTTTTAATATAACTTCATATTTCACCTATGAATGTCAAATTGAGAGGCACATCTTATCCAAATGACTAGTTTATATCAAATCTCAAGAAAAAAAAACATATATGTAGTCTTTAATACCTTATTTTATAAAAAGATTAATTATATTCGGATATTACAAAAACACTTTATCAATTATCATTTTTCTTTATTTCTCTTATCATACCATACCTAAACTTTTCTCTCTTTCAAGTATCAAATAGCACTAGTTTCATGCATAACTTTCTTTAATAAAACCAAATCCTTGGCAAAATCCAATCCCTTTATAATTTATGAGTCATATCTATCTAGGGCCATGGGATGGCCTACCAAATAGACAAACAAGTGAGACATGTCAAAAAATTGTATATTCATATGGTGAATGAGATGCCTCAAAAAATTTATTATTGATACAAATTTTTCTATCATTCGGAATCCTATTCCCCTTCGAGTTTAAATAAGAGTTTTCACTAATCTCTGATTCAAATAATGCAATTCATATTCATTGAATTCATGATAGAAAAGTGTTCAAAGGCATCATTAAAGTTCTTAAATAATCTCAGTTGTTTGGTCTGCATTATCTGTTGGTTTAATATATTAGTATATGATTTCTATGTCTTATAATAATGAAGAACGTGATTTGAATAAAACCCCAAAGGCACCACTGTCCCAACTAACCAGCAATATTAAAATGATTATAAAGTAATTCAGTGGCCATTTTATAGTTTAGGATACAGGGAATTCAACATGATTTCATGAAAAGGAAGGGCAAAGTAACAGGGTCTGTGAATGGGACGTGGGAAGATTATAATTAAGTATGTGTTTGAAATATTTTTTGTCCCTATAAATATACAATTTTGTTTAAAAATTTTAATGGTAGATTTGATACTTCAATTTTTTAAAATTAAATAAATTTGGTCAATCGTTCATATTCCATTTAATTGTTAACAGAAAATGTTAAATAATAATAGTGTTAGTTAATTACTCATTCAGGTAAGATATATTAATAATGAAGTTTAACCATAAATTTTAATACATGTTATTATCATAAGTAGATTATTTTTTTGATAATTGAATGATATAATTAATGACAGACTAAAAATTGCTTAGATTTTAGATATCGGAAAACTATGTTATATACTCTGATAGTTTGGTTTCAAAAAGAACCATTAGATAATACATTTTTATGATAAATAATTAATGTTAAGTTTGAAGTACTAATAATTTATAAAAATATATATTTAAATTATGAAAACCGCATAAAAATTTTCCGAAATGTTAAATGTAGCTTTAAAAAGTAAAACCCTTTTATGGATTGTGAGTAATATATTACTCTTAAATTTGATAAGTAAAATACATAAAATAATCGTGTTTAATAGGCGTGTTAAGAGTGGCCTATAGTACGGTAAATAGTGGCAAAAATACTTGGTAGGAATATTTTGATTAATATAAAATTCTTCATGAATTATTTTAATGAAAACTTGATGAATCTTACATTGAGTTAATGAAAAAAAAAAACTTTTCTATACTCTTCTTCTATCATATTATCTTATTTTAGTTATTCTTGTATATTTAAGTTTTGTAAAAACATTTGTTTAACAGAGTTTTTAAGTTTAGGGACAACTATATTATTAATCTCTTTTAGATTTAACAAATTAAAATTTACAAAGCTATAGATAAAAATAATGAATTTAAATCTTGCTTATTTAAGTAACTTTTAATTCAACTAATAATTATGTGAAGAAGTAACATAGAAAAGTTACACAAAATTCATATAAATCTTTTATTGTTTGTTTCACAACATGATATATGTTTTAGTCAAAATAACATAGAAAATTTACAGAAAATTTCATAAAACTCCAATTAATTAAATTTTATATATCAACTAATGTTTCATTTATAGACAAAGTTAATCCAATTCATTAAAAAATAAATAAGAACACAGGTATTACAAAAACACACTTTTAATTTTCTTTAAAATAAAACAACACTTTAAATAAAAAATATCTCCTCATTAATTGTCTTTATTTTGAGGGCACACTAACTTTTTTGGTCGGAATCATACAAACTATTGTATTTTAATAAAATCAGTAATATATTTATATAAAACATTCTTAACTTATTATTGATTTTATTAACCTGTTAATGTTTAAAAATGTATATCCTTGCAGAATAATTAATGTATGGAGAATTGTTGGCAATATATTTTCTAATATTTTAATGTGTCAAAGGGTATGTTATCATTACTAGGCGCCACTTTCACGGAAGACACTAGCTGTAGCGTAATCTTCACTGCAACAACTTCAACACTGTACAGTGTACGGTGTACGATATACGGTCTCTTTTCATCCTTCAAAACCATTCGGACATCAAATTTCGTTAACAGGTTCTGTAATGTGACGTGGCATAATATGATAGGTTGGTCGTAATGCCACACAGTGGAATAATAATAGAGTAATGGAAGAAAGGAAATTTTGACTTGTCTGGTCACACCTTCAGAGCACCATGTATGCAACTAGTCAACAAAACCAAGTCAAAGTCAAGGCCAAGACACAAAAGCTCACACGCCTTTAACTGTATCAAATTTCTACTTTCTCCCTCTTCTCACAACACTCTTTGTTCCATGATTAATGATTGGTATTTTATATGATCATTATCTGATTTAATTTTTCTCTTATTTCCCTTTTTCTTTCAACAATTTTTAGGGGAATTCTGACAAAACGGGAAGTATCAGGTCAGTTCTGTATTTCTCTGGTATATGAAGAAATTAGAGCATATAACATGTATAATATATTGTTATATTAGGATTCGCATGTTAGAGGAAATATGTACGTTCAATTGCTTTGCTGAGTTGAGTCTTTGATTTTGTTGATCAAAGCCAAGAGGTGTGTCCGTGTTCATTTGAGGTAGGATCTCTTCTTTTCTTTTTTATTTTAGTTCATGTTTCTTAACTTGCATTTTCTAAGCACATAAACACAATTTTTTTACTGATTTTTATGCTTGGGAGGGTAATTGACCATTTATCATTATTATTCTTTTTTGTTATGGTCAAGATTGTTTTTCTTGTTTTTGGACTTACTGTTGTGAGTTATGTTCAGTCAGCTCACCCAGCACAACCCTTTGTCTCAATTGAGAATGTTTCTCAGCTCCACAATGTGTGTTTCACTCACACAAGGGTCCAGACAGTTGTGAAATTGAGCCTTGGATCTGAATAATCTGATTTGATCAGATGAAAATTTATGTAATTATGTTTATATTGTAAATTTCGTCATTGTTATGGTCAATGAGTTTTCGTTTCCGAACAAAGCTGAGGGTATGAAATGGCGAACGAACTATTAGCTCGTGCCTCACTTCCCCCAACATCGGAGTTACTTTCTCGGACCATATTTGCTGTATATGACGCTGTCAAAGCAGCCAATGAAGTTGTCATTCACAAGGAAAATTTCAAGAGATTCTCTATTCACCTGGAGAATGTTTCGGTTATATTGAAGTCTTTGTCGAAGGAAGACATAAACAATGCCGGGAGCTTGCAAAAGACTATGGCTGGTCTCAACCGAGAGGTTGAAGTTGCTAAGCAGCTTTCTATTGAGTGCAACATCAGAAGTAAGGTTTATCTTTTAATCAATTCAAGAAAGATCATTACACACTTGAATTGTTGTACCAAGGATATAGGCCGCGCGATAAGCCTTATTATCCTCTCGGTCTCTTTAGACGTTAACTCTGGTTTAAATAAAAGGGTAAGTGAGTTGTGCCAGAAAATGTTAGATGCTGAGTATCAAACAGCTGCAACAGATGAGGAGATTTTAAACAAAGTTGAGATAGCAATACAAGAGGGAAATGTTGATCGGTCGTATGCGAATCAGTTGCTAACTGGCATTGCACATGCCATTGGGGTCCCCATGGAGCATGGTGTTTTGAAGAGAGAATTTGAAGATCTGAAAAATGAAATGGAAAATGCCAAGTCAAGGATGGACGGCGCAGAAGCTCTACACATGGAACAGATTGTTGCGGTGCTTGGAAAAGCAGATTTTATATCTTCAGCACAAGAGAAGGAAACTAAGTATTTTGAGAAGAGAAATTCCTTGGGAGAGAGACCGTTGACAGCTCTACATTCTTTTCACTGCCCAATCTCTCATGAAATTATGGTGGACCCTGTGGAGACTTCCTCTGGGAAGACATTTGAGAGAAGTGCAATAGAGAAATGGTTTGCTGAAGGGAACAATCTCTGTCCTATGACCAGGTTGCCTCTGGATACTAAAATCCTAAGGCCAAATAAAACTCTTAGAATGTCTATTCAAGAATGGAAGGATAGGAACACTATGATTACCATTTCTACCATCAAATCCGAACTTGAAACAAATGATGAAGAGGGAGTGGTTCAATCCTTAGACAAATTATATGACCTATGCGTAGAAAGAGAGGTACACCGAGAATGGTTAAAAATGGAGAATTGCATAACTGTTCTTATTGGACTTCTTAGTTATAAAAATCGTGAAATAAGGAGGCGTGTCCTACTCATTCTGTCTATGCTTGCAATGGATAATGAAGAGAACAAGGTATCTTCATAAATTCTTATCATTATTTACTGTACACGTTTTAAGATAGCTCCATGTAAAACTGATACAAATTCCAATATTGATTTTGCATAAACAAGATAGTGATATTTCTTTCTGGCAGGAAGATATTGTTGAAGTGGATAATGCACTTGGATTGATTGTTCGCTCACTTTCACGTCAAGTTGAGGAGCGCAAGTTGGCATTGGAGTTGCTGTTGGATTTATCTAAAAGTAAAATGGTGTGCAGTCTCATAGGAAACATTCAAGGAAGCATACTTCTGCTGGTAACAATGTTAAATAGTGATGATGTTGAAGCAGCCAAAAAAGCACATGAGCTGCTGGAGAATCTCTCTTTCCTTGATCAGAATGTTGTAGAGATGGCAAAGACAAATTATCTTAAGCCTTTACTACAGAAACTTTGTACAGGTATTCCATAAACGAGACACACCCTCTGAAGCTGTAGTGGTTTATGTCTTACAACTTCAGAATTCTGTGTTTATTACTTTTCTTTTCTGCGAGGGAGGAAGGATTTCATTTTTAGTAATTGGCATTGATATCCATTCAAGTCTACCAAGTAGGATATAAATACACATTCAAATACTTAAGGAAAATTACGGCCCAATTCAATAAACCTATCAATAATCACTTAGAGGAAAAGTAAGAAAGTAAATTGAATCAAATTTATCTCAAAAAGTCAACTTGTTAACTTTTTTAGAAGCTCTCTCATCTAATTTCCTATCAAAGTAAAAGTTGAAGTGCATAACTTGATAGGAGATATTTGAGTTGTTTTACTCCCCATTTTTTCTCTTGAAAGTGCATATTTCTTATGAAAAAAGGTGTACCCTAACTCTATGCGTTTAAACTATATGTGTTAATTGCTTGTGCTTACAGACAAAACTCTTTGAAATTGACAAAAGCTACTACACAAAACAGAGAAAAGTCCTATTTTGTTTATTGTTTTTCTTCCTTTCTCATTGCGTATAAATTACCTCCCATCTGTTAAAAAAAGAAATTAAACGTGTCGAACGCAGAAATGAGAATCTGTATACTGCACATACAAAACAATGAAGAGTACGCACATAACAAAGCAATGAAGTGACGGTGAAAATATAATGAATGTCCAACCTTATGATAAAATTTTATCCTGAAAATCTAACTACAAGACATGGAGTTTTTCACTAAAATGAAAAAATTAAAATTTTCAATTTTAACCTGAATGAAATATGAATCTTACATCCATCTATGTACTCACTGATTATCATTACTTATTTCCTTGATGTAGGACCAGAAAATATGAAAAGAGTCATGACTGAAACTTTGTCAGAAATTTCATTAACGGACCAAAATAAATTGTCCTTGGTCAAAGATGGGGCATTGCAACCTCTTCTTCAGCTACTCTTAAATGATGATGTGGAAATCAAGAAAGTGTCTGCCAAAGCTCTGCTACAGCTCTCAAACTTGCCAGAGAATGGCCTGCAGATGATTAAGGAAGGTGTTGCTCAACCACTGTTGGAACTACTATACTGTCACTGTTTACAGTCACCTACTCTGCTTGAACAGGTTGTTACCACGATAATGCATCTTGCCAAGTCAACAACTCACCAACAAGCTGAAGCAGATCAGATTTCATTCTTAGATTCTGAGGAAGACATATACAAATTCTTTTCTCTAATTTCTTTGACGGCACCTGAGATACAAAACAGGATTCTCCAAGCTTTCCAGGCATTGTGTCAATCTTTCTATGGCTTCCGCATCAGAAAGAGGTTGAGACAGGTGAGCACTTCTGCTTTTTGAAGTTTCAAACTTTAAACCCCATTGTTACATGATTAGGAAAATATAGAGGAAAAACACGTGGAAAAATACGAGAGCAAAATGTGATAGGAAAAAAATTAGTACAGAAAGAATTCCTTGTACTACATTTCAGTAGTTAACTATACTCATAATTTCACTGATTGCGATTCACTGAAGTCTATCCCCTAAAAATCTAGTTAAGGTTAAGCACTATCCAAACATGTATGTTTAAGATTTATAAAGATAGTTAGAATTATTCTATTACATTTTCTATCACACTCTCTCCGATTCTTATATCAAACTATGGAACAGATTAATTCTAGCAACTTTTATAACAACAACAAAGACTGTATTAAGAATTATTATCATCCAATGTAGAGGTGTTTCATAGTTATATTTTACTGCAGATATCAGCAGCTAAATTATTGATAAACTTATTGGAGATTAATACTCAAAAAAGGGTCGATGCCTTGAAGCTTTTCTATTGCTTGACAGAAGACGATGATCATGGCAACATCTCATCACATATAACTGAAAGTTTCATTAAAGTTTTGCTTAACATCATTAATGTTTCTGATGACGCAGAAGAGATAATCACTACTATGGGTATCATCGGTAAACTACCACAGGAGTCTCAAATGACCCAGTGGCTTCTAGATTCTGGGGTACTTAAAACTATTTTGACTTGTCTTACAGATCAACATAAGCATGCCTCACACAAAATCGTAGAGAATTCTGTTCAAGCTCTTTGTCGTTTCACTGTCTCAGCAAATCTGGAGTGGCAGAAGAGTGTGGCTTTAGAAGGCCTAATCCCAGTGCTGGTGCAATTACTGCTTTCTGGATCACCCTTTACAAAACAAAATGCAGCTATTTCAATCAAGCAGTTTTCAGAAAGTTCATATCGCTTGAGCGAGCCGATAAAGAAGCCGGGTATTTTCAAATGCTGCTTTGGAGGCCAGGAAACTGGTTGTCCAGCACACTTGGGCACCTGCTCAGTCGAGTCTTCATTCTGCATTTTGCAAGCTAATGCCTTGGAGCCCCTTGTGCGCTTGCTTCCTGAGCCAAATGTTGCAACCTGCGAAGCTTCCTTAGATGCGATACTAACTTTGGTTGATAGTGAAGCACCACAGAGTGGAAGTAAGGTACTTGCAAATTCAAATGCTATTGCACAAATGATACAATTACTGAATGTTCAGGCTCCCAGGTTGCAGGAAAAAATTCTAACAGCTTTAGAACGAATTTTTCAACTAGATGAAGTGAGAAATAAGTACAAAATTGTGGCTACAATGCCCTTGGTAGCCATAACTCAGGGGAAAGATAGCCGTTTGAAAAGTCTTGCTGCCAGAGGCCTTGCTCAATTGGGTGTACTTGATAAACAGTCTTCTTATTTTTAGAAAACTGTCTCAATGGTTTGGTTACTTGTATATCATTTCAAGCACAAGATTTAAAAACAAAAGTTTTACTGATGCAAAATTCCTGTTTTAAGCTGCTTCTTTTTTTTCCTCTAGTTTATCCCAGATCTATATGTAGTCCTGTTTTGCAGAGTCATTGTTGTATGACATGTCCATTTCTACTGTTCTAAAGAAATATTGCATTATATTGAATAGTATATATCCAAAGGCTTTCAGAGTTATCTCACGACATCATCATTGTTCCGAAAATATTGCTTGCATCCAGCGCAATAGTTTAAATACTTTCATCACAATTGGCAGTATTTCCTAACTTTAGCTGCAACATATGCAAATGAAGAAAGATTTCCTGATTTTTCCATTATTGTTCCCTGTTCCATTTCAGGTGAAGAAAGGTTGAATTTTGTAATTAAGAATAGTATAAGGGTTCCATTTTAGATGATGAAAGGTTGAATCAAGTTACTATTGCAGGCTTTTGAATTTGAAGAGATACTAGGTCATTTATTGCTTAAAGCATAGAGTAGAAGACCCAATTTTTCATCAAAGTCTCTCTTGCATAATTTCAACGACTGTAAACGTAGAATATAAAAACAACATCAATAAAAAAAATAACCTTAAAGAAAAAGCATAAAAAACTGAAATGATAATGATTTTTTTAAGCATATAGTAAATACTACGAACACTGAAAGGTATATATCATAACTAAAAAACAATATAAATGGAAATTATTACTTAAAGAAAGTTTGATATAAAAAAAAACTTGTAGATAGTAAAATTGAGCTTTACTTTGAAATAATATAGAAAAACAAAAAGGTATTAAAATTCAAATTTAATAAAATAATCCTACTTAAAAAAAATAATGAACGGATGCACTAAAAAAAGTTAACAATAACAAAAAAGGTATTTAAAGAAAAATATAATAAGTTGAAGAATAATTTAAAAATTAATAACAAATGTAAACTTGGAATTAATTAAATATTTTTTTACATCAATATATCCTATGTGAAAATCCTTTTACTTTTATAGAGAGATTTGACAAGAAGAAAAATTATCCTGTGTGTGTTGAAATCCTACGTGTTATATTAGCCCATAAATGGTTGTCATGGACCAGAAAGCCCGAAATGTATTGGGCCTGAGGGTGAATGGTCCAAATACAGAAACACCAGTGAGAAGATGCGCGGTTGCGTTTGCATCTCCTCTGTCTCTCTACAATTTCCCTGTCACAAGACAGATTCAGTCCGAAGCCAAACTCTGCAGAAAATGTTCAAAAAGTACGCTCGCTCGCTCGCTCGCTCTACAAACATAACTGCTACGTCACTCTTACTAGATTCTGATGTGATTCAAAACCTGTTACTATTTTCTCTTTTCATTATAGTTTTTTCCTATGGATATTTTTCGGGGTTTCGTTGCCAATTGCACCATTGATGGTCGTGATGGTGGCATAAACCCTAAAACATTATTAATTTCGTATTGGAACTCGCAATGCCCTCTTTTCCTTGCATCAACTTCCTGCTATCACTCAATAATTGAAATGTGTTGCATGTTCTCTACTTCATGTCAATGAACATGATTCTATTGTTCCCCCCAACAATTGTTTATTATAAAGTTGATTTTCAAGTATTTATCATCAGATTTTCATTTAATGTTGTTTCCCAGATTTTCAGGCGAAGATGTGTCTGCACAGAACCAAGTGAAGGCGTCTGTTCAACGAAAAATACGGCAAAGTATTGCAGAAGAGGTGATGTCACTTTTGGGGTTTGCCTTTTCTTGTGAATTTTAACCTTGTATAACAACATTCCTTATTGGTCCTCGTTGAGTTTTTTTTTTTTTTTGCCTGAATACTAACCTCACTCACTCTACTGCAGTATCCAGGCCTTGAACCTGTTTTGGATGATATACTTCCCAAGAAGTCCCCTCTTATAGTTGCTAAATGGTTTGAATGTGGTTCCTTTTGCTGTGCATTTTGCTGTGTCATATCCTTTTATGGTTGCTAACTGCTTATTACCTTTTCCCTTGTTCTTGTAGTCAGAACCATCTCAACCTGGTTCTTGTGAATAACGTGCCTTTGTTTTTCAGTGTCCGTGATGGACCATACATGCCTACCTTGCGACTTCTACATCAATGTAATGTTTATGCATTTTTTAACTTGTCTAGTAATAATTATAAATATTTCGCTGGTTTTTGTGCTGTACTTTGACTGCATAGTGCACGTCTTTTGTAGCCCAAATGTTCAATGATGAATAATAAACTATTGTAGGATGCAGCTGACTTTCGGTTCGGCTCATATGATAAAAAAGATATTGAAATGCATTTATACGGAAAAATTATAGTTGGTTACATATTTTTCTTTATAGATCCAAATATAATGAAGAAGTTACAAGTTGACCGTGGTGCAATTAGATTTGTCTTGGCGGGTGCAAACATAATGTGTCCCGGTCTTACATCTCCTGGGGGTGTCTTGGATGAGGATGTAGGAGCAGAATGTCCTGTGGTACTGCCATTATATTCTATAAAATATATTGATTATAATGCATAAAGTAAGCATTTTCTAGTGAATGTATATTAACCTTAATCACACCATATATTTATCTGATTTTAGGCAATCATGGCTGAAGGAAAACAACATGCTCTTGCGATTGGCTTTACAAAAATGTCAGCAAAAGACATGTAAGAAACATTTCTTATCCCATCTTTGATTGGAGGAATGTTGAATGATTTTTAGATATGAATTCTTTCACTAATAAATAAATGGATACTCTGTCAGATATTCTCTTTTTAACTGTTTATTTTATTCTCTGCCTAACATTTGTAAGCATGCAAATAACTTTGTGGTTTGGTTGGGTTTACCGTATAATGAGACAAGACTGATTAAAACGCTTTAGTTTGGGTCAGTTTGGTTTGGAATTTTTTTTAAGGATGAACCAAACCAAACTAACAATTAAATCATGTTGGTTCATGTATTCTAATGTGTTTGGCATATTTTGAATAACTTTTTAGACAAATTTTGTAACTAAGAAAGGAACAAGATCTGCAGATTGCAGTTGCAGCACAGAAAAGTCACCCGTCAGCAAAATACCCTCATCTGCTATAGACCAACACCAACTAACATCCCACATTTCTCCACCCCTTGCACTATCATTATCTGTGCCATACAACCAAAACTACTCACCTATTAGATGCACGCACTTGATCTCAAGCCTGAGATAGGTGTCTTAAGCTCCACACCCAGCACCATCAAGCCTGTTACCTTGTGAAATAACTCAGCAACGCATCTCTCTGCAACTATTAGAAATAGCAACCATTAATTACAATTCCCTGATGGAAAGGGAGGAGAATATTGAGATAAATTTTTATCTTTGATTCATATGGGAGTGAATTTTCTTTTCGTGAGCCATATATAGATATAGATTGGTCAGGTTTTATGAGTCTCAAGCTCTTAAGTTGAATTGTCTAAAAATGGGTTTATATTATTGTTAACTGAATTAATCTCAATTCAATTCGGATTTTTACTTTTGGATTGGTTTTGGTCATGTTAGTTCATCAGTCAATTGGAACCTGCTTATACCATACATTTAAGAAAAAAAATTAAGATCTAAATAATTTATTTTGCCATATCTCATTGTCAACCTCTCTAATGCAATCAAGGGTAGACCTACTTGTCTAGGTGGGGGTGCAACCACCGTCCCAAACAATTATTACCTTGGCTTCTATGTACACATTTCTAAGCAAGTCCCTCTGACTGTGTTTGCATGAAAATGTATTTAGCTCCCTCACGTTATTCTTTTTCAGTTTCACCAGTGTGCAATAATAAAAATACCATTGACATGTCAATTACAGAGTGAACTACTTATTACTTACTTTAATTGATGACTCTAGTATTTGTTTGCATTTTACACTACCATCCCGTTAATGATCGGAGGATGGATATTAAGACATGAAGCTTGTAGTATGCAACTATGATAGAACTGCTATTGTAACAGTGAGAAAGAACAGTTTTTTTATTTTATTGAATGAAACTGAGGAGAAGCTCCTTGGAAGCTGTCTATGTTTTTAAAATCAGACCGATTACTGAACCGGTGAAGATAAGGAATTCAGGATTTAAAGGTTCAACCGGAGTCTAATCGAATTTAATAAAATAATTATTATTTAAAGTTGATGTAGTTAATATGAGATAAAAGAAAAAGAAAAAAAAGTTAAAATATATTATATCTTTTATAAAAAAACTATATTAAAAAAATTTGATCTTAATTTTTTTTTCTTTTTTACCTAAACTATTTCGACCCATAAAACCCACCGGTCTCTAGTTTTTCCTGATTAATCAAAATTTGGCTATTTGAAAGTAACATACTGATTTCAAGTTCATTAACCGCGGGTACACTATTTCATGGGCCTGAATCCACTCCTTACAGTGGTTTCTCAATCACGAAACTCACCCCTAAACCATATACAATGTTTTTATGCAGTTACTGGTCAACAGGCTACAATTTATAATTGACCTTTAACGGACCTATTCAGCTGCAGGCCCATTCTCCATCTTTCTAACACAAACCAAGATTGATCATGGGTCTGCTATCAAGTTAGCACCAGCTCAACTGAAAATTCCACATTGTATTTTAAAGGCTTAAAGCAGGACCAATACTTTACTGCCAGTAACATCAATAATGCTGCCTACATCAATGCCATAGCATTATTAATGAATAAAAACTCAACGTGGATGTGGAAATAAAGAGAACTTGTAATTTTCCTAGTTTAACTTTCCTTGGTTGATACTTGTTCTCAAGATGTGTAAATATTTCCGTGGTTTCAGAAAAGCAATCAACAAGGGAATTGGGGTTGACAACTTGCATTATCTCAATGATGGTCTTTGGAAGGTATGATTGATATATGCTTTTCCTTCTTGTTTGTATCACTATAAAGAAATCAGTAGATGTATGCTCTCATATTGTTGTTTTTTAATGTACCTGCAACAAGTACCATACTCTTTTTCTTTTGTTGATATGAACGATAACAGTTTTTGGCCATAAACAGTGCAGATCAAATCCAATTTCTAAAGCAACACTTTTTTTACTCCTGAATTCTGCACCTTCCACCCACTGCTTCATAATAAATTTTCTTCTGATTTTTTTCTTTTGGAATTGGTCCTTCTGATTTTTAATATATCCTCATCATCTCTTTTTTATACTACACTGTAGATGGAGCGACTTGATTAAAGATGTTGTAAGAGCTTTAGTGCCTATCTAAGATGAATTCCTGTTTTCTGGACCTTGATCCAGATATAAGGGATCATATGCGAACTTGTTAAATTGTTGTTTTATTATACCGTGTAAACAGTAAAGAAATGAATTTTGTTGCACAGAGTGCTCTTAGTACTATGTAGATTTCATGTAACATGGAATACACTCTGCATGTTGACAAATACGAAGTTTTGTTTATTTTCGGACTCCAAATTAATATTGGAATCATGGACGGAAGGATAATTCAAACTTGATGCCATTTGATATTTGTTGCGTTATCACTTAATTTCTTAAACATTCACGACTGATAAGAGTCTGAATGAAGAGAAAAAAGAATTATTTATTGCATTTTCAGGCGTATTTTTCACTTTCTCATTTCTCCCTTATTCATTTTCACTTTTGATCGTGTGTTTTACTATATGACTCGGTCTAGAAGAAGCAAAATCATCTTCCATGTTTGTCATGAGTGAAGAAAACACATTAGTGTTATTTTCCGATAATTAGGTTTAAATGTGTTTCTTGGTTTTGTATTTTTTATCTCTTTTTAAGTGCACCAAAAATTGTCATATTCACAAATGAGGATCGAGTCTTTTTGTCATTTGATATTGCTATCTACTTGCGTGTATGCCAACATGGAGTGAAAATTAAGGTGGCTAGTGCAACACGTTAATGATTAACGTGGAAACTTTGTCAGTGGCGATTTATCTGATTTTTTATGTAATAACCGTTGATATTAGGGTTTGTGTTTTAACATTTCCAAGGCAATGCCACCCCAGTCTCCTTGTACACTCATGAATCTTGCACAAAGATACGAAGATTGATCACATTTTGTTTAGAGTAGTGGAATTTCGTCGCGATTTCTGCAGATGTGCCATCCATGGTTTTATTCAACTGTTTGTTTGCAATGGGAATTAAGGACATCAATTAAGGCTACCACAGTTATTACCACGTCTGTCTTTTTATGTGTTCATGGTTTAGTGCATGTCGGAAAGCTTTATCCTTTTTTATGTCTAAGGGCTCGCAGTTGGTTTGTTTCTCTTGTTTGTAGCAAATAGCAATGCATACGGAGATGGGGACAGTTTTTTTTTTTTATTTGTCTAAAACTTTGACGAAGCATAAAAACGGAGAACTGTCTGTAATTACGATTAAACTGTAAAATTTTAGAACTTTTGAAAACTAAATTTGGAAAGACCACGTCAATGGCTTCTCACTTTCTTTCTGGGGACCAAAGATTCTGCATGGTCCATGAAGACCTTATATAACTATGCATCAAAGAACCCATTGTCCACCGGGCAAATCCAAAGACCATGCTATTATCTATAACTATATACAAATCCAGGTAACACAAATAGCAACTTTCTACACGTGTAATCACCACAATTTTTTTCAAAAAAAATCATAAACTAATTTTTTACAAAACATACCTATTTTGTACAAAAAGACAAACTGCTTCTTTGGGCCACAACAATACTGCAAGCCCATGCTTCTCCTCAGCCCAAATACTCTCTGAATATCTCATATGCTCTCATATGCTCCTTTGCGCCGTTTGCTGCAAGTCTTCTTGCTCTGCACATTTTCTTCGCTCTGCACGTCTTCTTTGCTGCAATCTTTCCTATTTTATGCAAGATCAGTGTCTCAAAAGAAGCATGAAATCTCTTTTGTTGCACGTCTTCCCTCAAGTAGTATTTCCATCTGCATGTTCAGATAAGTTATATTTTTTATCATGATTAGAGTTCAATATTGTCTTCTTTGACCGTCATTAGGGTTGTATCTAAGGTTTTGCGTTTAAATGTTACCGATTTTGTAAAAAAGGTTACTGATTTGCTTTGATCTAAGGTTTTTAAATTTAAAAGTTACCGATTTCGGAAAAAATGTTACTGATTAGCTTTGATCTAAGGTTTTTGAATTTAAAAGTTACCGATTTTCAATCTTTATGTTGTTTACCTTCAAGAGCGAAGTTGAAATTTTTTTCATGAAAAAAGTTTGCTTTTTTATCATCATTAGAGTTCAATATTGTCTTCTTTGACCGTCATTAGGGTTGTACATCTGTTTATACCTATTTCAGTATAGTTTTATGTAATTTTGCTTATTGATTTGCATTTAGCCCAAGCTGGAGGTATAAAAATTGTTGTTTTTTACATCATGACGGAAATACAGGATGTCAGATACATGAAAATGGTAATATCTTCCCTTTACAAAAGTTTTAATTCAGATTACTTTAATATTGTCAACATTTCAAATTTCAAATTTCAAATTTCAAATTTCAAATTTCAAATTTCAAATTCTAGAATACAGGCAACATTTCCCTCTTTCCACCATGCTTATAAATATACATCTGTGATGATAATATTTCTACGTTGAGTGGGTTATTCTCTATCTATTTTTTACATTCAGTTTGCAACATGTCTAATTTGCAAAAAAAGTATCACTCTGTTTCAGAACTCAGTGCTGAAAAAGAAAATTGGAATATATTGGCAAAGGTCATACGCCTGTGGTTTGTTTCAGATTTCACTAAATACAAATTGCCATTTTCCATGGACTTTGTCATGCAAGATATGAAGGTCAGTTTACCATGCTTTCAATACATTTTAAATAACACTCAATTGTGATTTCATTTTCTTAATGCAGGGTGACAGAATTCAGGGTTCTGTTAGGAGGTCTCTCATCTATAAATTTCAAAATGAAATTACTGAGGGGCGTGTGTACTCTATTCAAAATTTTGGTCTTGGATCAAATGGTGGTTCTTATAAAACCACCCACCACCCATACAAAATCAACTTCCAGTTTGGAACCAAAGTGAACTTAGTTGATTGTCATGTTATAACTGAAAATAATGGTCAATATATACCACTCTCAGTTATTACGGCTCCTGGATTTGACACAGATTACTTGGTTGGTAAGTGCATATAACATGATGTTAAATACTCTGTTTTATCATATACTATTTATTTATTATTTAGCATATGGTGTTACTCACATGAAACATCATTTCACAAACACAGATGTCATGGGAATACTTACAGGAGTTGGGACAGAAAGAGAGCTAGACAAGAATGGTAAAAAAACAAAACTAAACATGATATGCTTAGAGGTCGATGGGTAAAGCTCTTTAACCCATTTATTGATGCTTAAGGATTTACTATAGTATAGTATAGTTTTTTTTTTAACATGTGTTGTTTTTCAAACTTAGTTTTAGAGTAGAGTGTACGTTGTTTGGTCAATATGTTGATGACCTAAATGCATTCCTTGCATCTCGGAGATATCCAAAATCCTGTCATAATCATACAATTCGGCAAAGTCAAAATCTTCCAAGGTAACTAATATATTGATGTTATAATTAGTTATAGTTAGTTACAATTATTGATATTATATTATAGTTTTATATCTTTATATGTTATTTACAGATAAAGTATATGTGCAAAATTGTATGGATTGTACAAGGATAATTTTCAATCGTTGAGTGCGAAGAAGCTAGACAACTTAAAAAAAGGTGTAAATCATAAATTTCACTTGAAGTGTTAACCAACTAAAATGTCCATTTGACTTTTCATGTTTTATTGAATGCGAGGATGTCTGAGAGTATGGAGTCACACTGCCCAAGGGTTAAGCCGACTTTCCGACTCTTCTAAACAAACCAGTGAAGATGAATTTCTTCAATCTACTCCTAGAAATACAATAGAGGGTTTAAAAGATTGTAAACAGGTGTCATAGTCATTATTAGTCTATTCATTACTCCATTCCTATTAATTAGTGATGTTCATTGTGGTTATTGTCTATTCATTTTAGTTTTAATTACTATTGTTCATATTTGTTTTTACAGGAAACAAGTTTTGTAATTCTAGGCACTATAAAACATATTGTTCATGATGATGATTGGTGGTATACAGACTTGTGTGTGCAACAAAGCGAGTATATCCAGATTCCAAAATGTTTTTCTGTGAAAAATGTAATAAACATGTCATGAAAGTCATGCCTAGGTACTAATCAATGCTATTTTTTTGGCATCATATTTCAACTTTTTTATGAAATTCTTACAAATAATATTTTATTGCTTATGAATTTCAGGTACAAGCTTAAGGTGAGGGTCATTGATGAAACAGACTCAAGCAACTTTTGTAATTTTTGATAGGGATGCTTGCTACATTGTTAAAAAAATCATGCGCAGAGATGTTTGATTCGCAGGATAAGGTTTTATTTTTCTATATTTATTATTTATTAAATGTATTATGTATTATTTATCTATTTATTACATTGCATTGAATGTTTAATATGGTTCTTTTATAGAATGTTGTTAATGGGAATTTTCCGAATGAGATTGAAGAACTGGTAAATAAGACGTTTCTCTTCAAAGTTGAGTCTACATGTGGTCAGAGTTTCAGGTTTGAACAAACATTCAGAGTCAAGAAAATTTGTGCAGACGATGTTATTATAAAAAACTTCATCGATGGTTGCATGAAATCAAAGGTAAATAGGTACTCAATAACTGATATTTGTTATTCATGATATTCTACTTCTATACTGACCAAATGAAGTTTATTAGGATGTCAATTCAGAAAATGCAATATTCAATAGCAAACAATCAAATTTTGGAAATACTTCTATTATTGTTGCCGAGGTATTTAATGGATTTCTCTTCATTATTACAAATATAACATTAAAACAAATTAGTCTAAAGTATGTCAACTTATTTTTACAGGATTTATTAACAAAGTTCTCCAATGCATCTAATGATGTTGACTCTGAACCAGCTGATTTAGCATCTGATATTGGTCTCAGCAATGACTTGGTCATGACAAATCTTAAACGACACAATATAACAAACTTGGACACACAAGATGAAGATATACCTTTAAAAATATTGAAGAAAAATATCAAGACGGAGAAAAATTAAGTAACTTAATAGATCTGATGAACTCCATTATAATGTGTTGTATTATCAATATGAATATTTTGTTGTGGTACTTTTCATGAACTGC